AGCCACATACTAAACCTTAAAAGCTCAGGGGAGGACTTTGTGGCAGACTTACTAACTCGGAGACCTAAAGTAACCACAAAGGATGGTCTGAAATTAAAAGTTATTAACTAAAAGCAATTTATGGCAGACAGTCATGTCCTGGGCTAGAATCTTCTGTGACAAAAGTCAATCTTTATTTACCTCAATTAAGCCTGTCTATTGTCTTCTTGCATCTATAGTAACATATCTTTAGAATGTCAAAGTAATTTCCTTTGTCTAGACCCCTCAGAGCACAGATTCCGCACAAAGCACCAAAGTGGAGACTACAAATCCCCTCATTGTTATTGAGTAAATTGTTGACTGTTAACTATTCTGTAACCACCTATGTAAAAGAAGTATGTCTACCTTTTACTTTTTATCCAATCCCAGAAGTTTCCCCACTTTGCTTTCCCCTACCTCCCTGATCTATCACCAATGGATTTCAAGTAACCCGCTTACATCCTGTCTTTCGATAGTAACACATAAAGCAAGATGCAGAACTGCCATTCCCTGAACCATTTTCTCTGTCTGTTGAGGTTTTGCTTCCTCACAATTGTCACCAGTTTGGCTCAGATAAACTAATAAAAAAATTCTTACAGATTTGGACGTTTCTTATGTTGACACTCTCTAAACCTCAGTGACTTTATAACATGGTGAAAGTAAGAACTTTTGTTTTTTAAACTAGTTGTGAGAACTACAGTTAATCATAATGATAACCATTAATAAGTAGTAATTTTGATTATGTAAAGAACGCTCTTATCAAGTACCTGACTCAAAAATATTAATTTCCTGCTTTCCTTTACCTAATTCTCCATAGTTGACTCTCAAAAATGTTAGTTTCCTGCTCTCCTTTACCTAATTGTATCAACATTTTTGAGAGTTTGTTGTGCAAAGGGGAAGATATCTCTAAAGCAATAATATCCAAACGTTTTTCTTTTGATACACCCTATAATGAATCTGAAAAAGTTATATATGCTCTTGTACATCATTTTTCAATGTAAGTTGAAAGAATAGCAAATTTTAATTTTCCCATGTATTGGAAATATTAATATTTTTAAAATAAAACTATTCCATCCCTACTTAAAATCTACCCAATGGCATCTAAATATCATGACAAATTGATACCCAGCATTCATGTAAACAAATATACAACCAGGTTTTTCTTTAACAGTAAGAAATTTTATCTCATTCCATTTTCTCCTTAAACTCACTTCCATTCTACTTTCCTCAGAGAATTTTATCCTAATGTAACATATTTTTATGCTTGAACATCTTTTATTGATCAATAAAATGTAAATATTTTAAAATTTTAAAAATTAAGTTTCCTGGGACACAAAAATGCAAGCATCAAATGTTCATGCTGGATTGAGTTACCATTGTAATTACTATTTGTACATAATTGATCAAATGCCATAAAGAAATTACAAATTTTTATGACAAACATAAAAAATAAAAATTTTAATATAAATAGGTCTTTTAATGAGAAGGAAGAGCTTTTCCCTTAATAAGTTAATAATTATTATTTCTTCCTAGAATGATAGAGAATCAATACCACTCCTATTTTTCATTTTTATTTTCCTGAGTGCCGGGATATCTGGCGGCACAATGCACTTCAGGTTGGAATTCTCTTTCTCCAGATCTTCCCCTGCTGGCTTCTTCTCACTGTTTGGCTCTTAAAGGTGACCTCCTGAGGAAGGTCTTGTCTGATGATGAAATCTAAAGTAGTCCCTCTGTACCCTCTGAAACCCTTCCCACACTTAGAAATCATAGTGTTTGTCACTATCTGTAAGTGTTTTGGACAGGTACTTATGCATTATTCCCCTCTGCTAGAATATCAGTTCTGTGAAATTGGGGGCTTCATCTGCTCTTTGTTGACAGGTGGTAGGCACTTGATATAAATGCTTGTTGGATGACTAAATGAATGAATGATATGCTGCCTGAGATCATTCATTCTGTCCTACATTTATGGAGCAGCTACCAGGAAATGTACCATTCTCTATTATCATCAAACCACGATCCTCCAAGGATGTAGCGGAAGAGGAATCTCCTTGTGAGCTGGGGAGCCTACTCCTGTGTCTTGAGATTAACCTTGGGGTTAATATTCCAACTGATATTCCACTGGGACAATTAAACTCAGCTCAAGATAACAAAATGAAAATAGAGACACAGAAGGTAATTTGTAACTGGGTAATCTGTGATATTTTCAGCCTGGGATCCTCCCACAGTTGGAAATGTGTGGTGACTCTTTTTGGTAGTTGTGGGGTTGGGGGAAAATCTACATATAGTTGGCTTTCCACGGGCATGTTGAAACCTTGCAATAATATGCAGGGCAATCTCATGCAACTAAGAGCTCTGCAGTTCCTGGCCCACCAGGACAGTGCCTTCATGTAGCATTTTAGCTTCTTACATGCAGGGGCACTCTCAAGCTAGTGCAGACAATGAGTCCCCATTCTCCTGCAAAGCCCATTTTCTGAGTTTAGATTTTCTGACCAAGAATGCCTCTTCACCAACTGCCATCCAAAGAATGCCCACACACCTGGAGTCACCTACCTTATCCAAATATCACAGCACAACACAGCGGGGGCGGGGGGCGTCCATCATTTCCAAAGGAGATACAGGTAACTTTTAAAAACTATTACGTGATTAGGGGGGCAAATATGCTAGGGGAGGGGTAGAATGAATCTATGTTGACCTAGGAAAGGCCAACCTATTATTGTGATGGATTAAATACACTGAAAATATCTGCTATCCTGTAAGCTGGGATATCCAACCTTTTGGTGTCTCTGGGCCACACTGGAAGAAGAGTTGTCTTGGGCCACACATTTAATATACAAACACTAATGACAACTGATGAGCAAAAAAGGATCCATGCATAATTTTTGTGGTATCCGCCACCACAGATAAGCCAAAAGGTCCTCATTAATAACCCTAATTATACAGCAACCTTTTCGATAATCTTTTAAAATTGTTGAGCAGGTCCTAAGTTTGTGATCACTAATATAGAAAATGTACGTATCTGAGTAAAAAACAACAACAACAACAAAACACAGTATAAAACTTAGTAATAAAACTAAATAATGTTTTAAGTAAATTTATGATTTTGTGTTGGGCTGCATTCATAGCCATCATGCGGCCAGCAGGCTGTGGGTTGGACACCACTCCTGTAAACCAATGCATTTCAGTGTAGTGTGGCCTTTGTGAACACTCATACAGCCAAACACACACACACAAAAGGGGGCTTTCCAACTATGAGGTTTGTGAAATGTTCCCTGAAACACTTCTTTAGTCTGTTTTAAGCTTTTGGGTTTTTTTCCCTCTCTCTAATTAGCCTAAATGGCCAGGTATTTTGTAAATTGTCTTTGGGATACAACTTATTTTGTATAGGCTTTGTGCCACATAAAGGCATGCAGCATTGTTTTTGCTGAACAGATTAGTCAGAGCTGCATGTGAAAAATATTATGTCCTTGCAGAATCTGTTTTCCTCTTACAAAAATGGTAAAACTGAATTTGAGAGGTGCACTTTTGCAGAATGAACCCAGAAACTTGTGAGACAGTACAGGGGTAACACTCACTAGACGTTCATCTCGACTGGAAGAACTCTATCTTAGAGGCCTGATGATGACTCTGCTTTCGATAAAATTTCATAGTTAAAATTAACCTAACCACATCTTTAAAGGAAAGGATATATAATGATAACATCTTTCCTAACATCTTGTTCTACAAAATAGTCAGTTTGTCAATTTAATGATAACCAGAATGTTTACTCAAGCATTATTTTACAGGCCCTTTGGGTGGTCCAGTGACCACCGAAAACATCTTGTGACTACCCTGGTATCAACAGCTGCCTATTGTCCGTCTTGGGACAAATGACCTCATCCTCATTCTCAAGCCCCTACACCCAACCCAAGGCCCCTGTGTAAGCCATCCGCAAGAACCCCTTGGGGAGCTCCACTTCTAACTCCCTTGTGCACAAGCTCTTTCCAATGAACGGTATCTGCTTAATCTTGTACTGAGTTCAATGTTCATTTCTATGGCACTGAGACTCAAGAGCCTGACATTCAAGGTCCCCGTAATACTTCCACAGACAATAAGCTTGAGATTACAAACAAACACGCAAAAAAAACCCCAAAGCAAACCATTGACTTTGTTGAATGGTGAGAAATAGTGTTTAAAATGCTTCAGACAGAGACCACATCTTATTCTTCATAACCCCAGACACAGTGATAACACTTGATCACAATGAACACTTGTTGATTTAAAGATGGTTGTATTTTTGTATCAGTATATTTTAAATTATCAAATAGTTCCCGCCCACCAGTGTTTATATTATAAACACTTCACTAAAATTGAAATGTTTGTATTAAAAACTTGAACACGTCTGCTTGTTAATAATCATGTAAAAAAGCTGCCTTATTCCACATGCTCCAGCTGAGCCTTCAATGGGGACGGTGAGGAAGTGAAAATGCAAGTTACCTCTTAGCATGCTCCCTCAGTTTTAAGAAAACAGTTCAAATACTTGGGGACGGTGAGGAAGTGAAAATGCAAGTTACCTCTTAGCATGCGCCCTCAGTTTTAAGAAAACAGTTCAATACTTGGGGACTGTTCCCAAGCTCCCTTTAATCAGTGAATGAAGCGGTCGACCCCCGAAACTTTGCAACTAGAGCGGCCTTTCTCAGACAATATACCAAGATATAGGCTTTAGGATTGCTTTCTAGGCTTAAAGTTCTCAACTTTTAAAATGGGCTAAATTTATGCGGCCGTTTCGGGAGGCTTGTGCTTTCCTCAGAACACTGTGCGTTCCTCGGGGGCTGGTGGGTTCCTCGGAGGCAAGTGCGTTCCGGGACTACGCCCCGCTGTGGCCTCCGCACTGGGCGGCGCTGGGACCCAGTTACCGAGCAGGAAGGGGAGGAGTCGCCGAAGGGGCGGTGGGGAAAAAGGCGCTTAAAAGAGGTCTTAGAGCTTTGCCGACCGTGTCCCAGTTCCTGCAGCTGCACCCGCGACATGCCAGGCCCCATCTCCGAGCTGCCGCTCCCGCTGTCGCTGCCCGCCTCACAGGAGCGGGGCGCCGAGCCGCGGCCGCACGGGGAGCTGCAGTACCTGGGGCAGATTGAGCACATCCTCCGTTGTGGCTTCCGAAAGGATGACCGCACCGGCACCGGCACCCTGTCGGTGTTCGGCATGCAGGCGCGCTACAGCCTGAGAGGTGACATGGGCTCGCCAGGGGCGGGCGGGCGGGCACCCTCGCGGGCTTGGAGGTGCAACTGGGAGAGCGCTTGCGAGGGGCGGGGCCCGCGGGCTAGTTTTAGTCCTAACCTATTTTTAGACGCCGAAACTGAGGTTTGGATTAGAGAGCTGATTTGCATAGGGTCACACGGACAGGAGGGAAAGAGCTGGGAGATAAAACCACGTTGGCCCTTCCGGCTCCAAGGTCCGTGGCACGTTAACACCTCGTTGTGTTGTCTTCCCCAAAGCAGGTACGATCCCGTAGTTTGTCCGAACTAGAGTGGGAGAGGATCTGCCTCGGCTTGACCTAGGGCTTGGCTTGGCTAAGTGTGCCTGTTATTGCCTCTCCTCTCCAGTGTTTGTCCTTCCGCTTCGCAAAATTTTAAAATTGGAGCCAATTTTTGGGCGCGCAGTGACGACGGCGGGAAGAGAGCCAATTGAAAGGCAGGGGCGGGACAGTTTTCCCTTCCAGCCCCGTGAGCCAGTTTTCCTCTTAAACCTTGAAATAACTCGATGGTGCGAGTAGAAGTTCCTATTCATTTTTTCCTGTAAAGCAGGATGGCCCCTGGGAAGAAGTGTCTGTTGGGAGTTGCTAGGGTCAGGCTTTCAGGAGATGAAGTGGTGGGGTTGGGGTATGCACGGGAAGTATAAATCCTTGACACTGGTGTGGAGGGTGGTGTTGAGGGGCACCCCCCCACTATTAGTAAAGCAGATTCGCTGAGCTCAGCTCCCCCCCCACCCATTCTAGAAAATGGGAAATTCCTGTCTGCAGTGGAAAATACCTGATTGGCCTTGGACAGCTTTGGGAGTTTCCTGAGCGGAGAGATCCACCTTCCTGCAGCACCAAGAGCTGTTGGTCTTCAAAGAGCCACTGACCTAGTTTTTACCCCAGCTCCTCTTAGACCTTGGGCAAGTTACTTAACCTGTGGTGTTAAGCTTCCCCATATACTTGAAATGGAGGAAATAATGTTCAGACAATATTGATAGAAGTAGGTGCTTGGACCATTAATCCTGGCTATATGGATATCAATGGTACAGCTGAATAGAGATAAGCTTTTACATGTTTATTTTTCTATTTCTTGATGCAAACTTCTGTATTTCCTCCTGGTGTCTGTAAAATGGAGATCATTAAGGTGCCTTGGGGAAGATTGTTTTGAAAAGTAAATAGGATCATGTATATGAAATGTTTAAACAGTTACTGTTTTGGGTATACCTAAAACATAGAGGTTAATTTGCTTTGCAAATCTTTAAAAACTGTTCTTCAGTTTTGACCAGTTATCCCTGGGTCCTGAGCAAGTTTTCCTAGACAGCATAATCATGGAATAGCCCTGAGAGCCTTCAGGCTTTGCCAGAGGGCACACTTTGTGTGTTGTCTTCACACCTCCGTAAAGGAGTCTTCCTAACAGGGTAGTGGGTGGTGCTCTTTCCCTGGCCCCATCTCACTGTGTGGAACTTTTTGTCTGGTGGGTGTGGGGCTCAGGAAGGCAGTCTCATTCTGAACTGTGTCACTGACTTGCACTGCATCCTGGGAGCTCCACCCTGAAACAGGGCTCCCACTTGGCAGGAGTCTTTTTTCTAGTTGCTCCTATGATCACTCCAGGGCCTAATGCCCTGAGGAAGTTTTCTTCCACAGAGAAAGTTGGGTAGCATGTGCTGTTTTCCCATCTTGAAATTATATGGCAAACTGTTTTTCAGATGAATTTCCTCTGCTGACAACCAAACGTGTGTTCTGGAAGGGTATTTTGGAGGAGTTGCTGTGGTTTATCAAGGTAAAGAAGCCCACCTTGTGTGGCACCATAGTCCCGCTTGTACCCATTATAGCACATCACACCTGAAGACACCAGAAGCCAGTTGGGGGTCTGTTCTTGACCTAGATGCACAACTAGGTTAGGCTGAAAAGGGCCAAATCTAATAAGATGGAATATAAGAAAAATAAACATCAGGCTTGTACTTGGCAAAAACAAGTCAACTATGCAAGTATAGGTTGGGGTAAACATAACTCAGTAATGGCACATATGAGATATGTGACCTCCATTTGCCAAAAAAGCTAGTGCTTATTATACCAATCACTAAAAATATTTATATACCAGATCTAAGTTACTCCCAAGAGATTGCACATGAAGCATTAAATTCATTTTGGGTATCACGCTTGGACACAGAATACATTATTGGGTTAAGAAACACAAAACTAGATGTGCGAATAATTAAAAAGACTTGGAGGTGTGTAGTTTAGAAAATTTAGCTGAGGGGAACAAGAAAACAATTTTTAGAGGGTGGTTCCAGAGAAGGAATCAAACTGACCTGAAGGCCCTCCAGAGTTTGAGCTAGAACTAGCCTCCTTAAAGAGGACAGGCTGCCCTGGCTGAGTGGCTCAGTTGGTTGGAGCATCATCCAGTACACCAGAAGGTTGCGGGTTCAATTCCTGGTCATGGCACATACCTAGGTTGTGGGTTTGATCCCAGGTAGGAGCATGTATGAGAAGCAACCAAACGAACACCAAAAGGTTGCGGGTTCGATTCCTGGTCATCGCACATATCTAGGTTGTGGGTTTGATCCCAGGTAGGAGCATGTATGGGAAGCAACCAACCAATGGGGACTCTTGGTGGGTGGGCTCCAGTGGTTCCAAAGTCTGCTGGGTGAGTGAACTCACCTGCTCTGCTCTCCCATCTCTTCCAGGGATCCACAAATGCTAAAGAACTGTCATCCAGGGGAGTGAAAATCTGGGATGCCAATGGGTCTCGTGACTTCCTGGATGGCCTTGGATTCTCTAGCAGAAAAGAAGGGGATTTAGGCCCAGTTTATGGCTTTCAGTGGAGGCATTTTGGGGCAGAATACAAAGATATGGATTCAGGTGAGGAGACAGTGCTGCCTCAGATATCTGAGCACCCCTCATAGCTCCATGGTTTCAAGTGAAGTGTAGGGGATAAGAAGCCAGTGTCTGGGGAGCCGATATATAACTTGAACCTTGGGTGAGTCTGTTTCAAGTTCAGGAGCTGCAGCTACACCTCATGGATGCAGATCACACTCTCAGTGATTAGCATTATTGGGTGCTTGGCACTTTCCATACCTGTTCCATTAGCAAATAGTGACACAGTTGGTCGCTGTGTTGGGGAATAAGGTAAGAGGTTCATCTGGGGAACTAAATGCCCAGAGATTGCCTTGCAGAGGCCTTGATCTCCCTTTTCTTTTTAAGACTGAGCCACCCGTCACATCTTAGGTGTCACTGATGTGGTAGCTCTTTTCCGGTGTCACCATCTCCTCTCCACCCTGCTGGTGGAAAAGATAAAACATCTCACTGCTGGATGTCCACCTCCCCTGTTACTTGGTACCACTTGCTGAGTCCAGCCCTAGTTCCTTGTTCCTTTGTCCCACTTATCCTTAAGTCAGAGGTTACAAAGGCAGATGTGTCCGTGTGTATACATGGTGTATGCAGGAAGTAACAGTTTGCTGCCTGGGCAGAGACCTTCCACCTGGAGAGCATGAGTCTCATCCAGAGGGAACAGTCACATCTCATCTCCAGCAAGCTAGAGACAGGTCAGCCCTATAGTGTGGGAATTCTTTGATTAAAGCCTAAAATATGCATTTTATGTGCAATCTTGAGATGTTTTGAATGTTGGCAACCTCCTTAAGTTTTAAAGTGCTGTGCAGACCTGGAATAGGCACATTCATAGAGATAGAATGGTGGTTGCCAGGGGTGAGGAAGAGGGGACCTGAGGGGGTTAATGTTCCATAGGTATGGAGTTTCAGTTTAGGAAGATAAAAAACTGGAGATAGATGCTGGTGATGATTGCACAACATTGGGAATGTACTTAATGCCACTGATCGCAAGCTTAAAAATGGTACATTTAATCTTATATAAACTTTACCAGCATTTTTTTTAGAGTGCTGTGTGAGCCAAACTATTTCTGTAGGTAAATGGTCTGCAACCTCTGTCTGAGGGACATCCTCAGGATGTGAATGTACTCCCCTGCCTTAATTGTGCCTTAAATCCTGCCTAGTGTTCAGTTCTTTATTGCTGCTTAAGGGACCCTAGTAAAATGATGTCCTTAGTTTAAAGTTGTATGAATGCTCAGCTTTTGGACTTCAATAGGAGTGTTTGTGCTTTTTGTTTATTTTTATATTTCAATCTTTAAATAATTAGAAGTTCAAGTACAGAGAGGTCCCTGTACGCTTTACCCAGTTTACCCCAAAGGTAACATCTTGTATAAGTTGACACTGGCAAAATCCACAAGAGCTCATCAGATTTCTCCAGTTTCATGTGTACTCATTAGCATGTGTGGGTATGCAGTTTTAGCACATGGTGTGTAACCACCACCACAATCAAGATACAGAACTGTTCCATCACAGTTTATCTTTTTAAAAAAATCTTTGATACTACCTTTTATGGAACTGATTGTGTCAGGCTTTCCTCCCAAAAAAAAAAAAAAAATTAAGAACTGCTGGACTAGAACAAAGTGCGACACCAATAAGTGGAAGTTTAACCAGAGGAGAATATGAAGTCCTGCACTTCCCAGCTTCTAGTTCCATTTCAGAAGGAAGGCAAGGAATTAAAGTCCGGAGACCAGAAATGGGAGAAAAGTACAAAGGTGGTGTAATAATTATGGAGGTTTCCTGATATTTACAGATGACTAGGCATTTACTTGCTAAATTGTAATTTTAGGAGGACGTGTTGGAAGGATACTGTCAAGGTCATAGAAAGGAATCCACAGTCCTCTGTTAGTTGTTAATGTGTATGGAATTGTGTATTCTATTTAAGACCTAGTACTTTCTGTGGGACACAGATAAACAAGATAATGTCAGTGAGGCATGACAAGAATGGTTGACCGGTATGGAGACTAAGTCCTCTGGAGACCACTGGAAGAAACAATGTTGAAATTGGGGAGGGGGAAGGGGTGACACCATGACCAACCAAAAATTAAAAGGACGTTTATATGGGAAGGAAAATAGACTTTGTTGTGACTCCAGGGACAGACCTAGGAGCCTAGACCAGGCCTTGAATGCAACATAACCCAATGAGATCTGAGAAATGTATAGAGTGCATTGGAGTAACTCTTGGCTCATGGACAGTGTGATCAATGACGGGTAAAAACATCTCACAAGATGTTGTGATTAATGTGTGCACTTTTTCTCTCTTTTTGATAATTCTACAGATTATTCAGGTCAAGGAGTGGACCAACTGCAAAAGGTGATTGACATGATCAAAACCAACCCTAACGACAGAAGAATCATCCTGTGTGCTTGGAATCCAAAAGGTTAAAAGCATCCTGGTCATCCTCTCATGTCCTAACTGTATGATTAACAGAAAGGGAAGCAATGTGGCCTTGTGCAGGGACCTCCAGTGGGAGGCGGGTCCTGGGAACTGACTCAGCCCTATGGCCACTTGGGTGACCCTGTGCAAGTCACCCTTGGCCCCATTTTCACCCTCAGGTTACCTATAAAAATATATGTAAGATTATTTATTATTTTAAAGTTAAACTTTACCATGGTATAATAAACACTTGGAGTAGAATATCCACATACATAATAGAGACTTGGCGTACAGGAGGTGTGCCCGAGACCCCAGCTTCCTGTGGCCTCTGCAAATGAATTCATTCTTCCTATAAAGGTAGTACAAATAGCTAATTTCAACTTGAATGAGAGAGCATTGCTTTCTCAAATTTGAGGGAAGAGCTTTAATTCTTGAAGTTCATTAACCTTCATACAAACATGGGATTGAAATACATGTACATGTTTTTTGTTAAGCATATGTACACTTTTACCCTTCTCACTGTATTCACAGTCTCAGCATTTTCACATACCCTCATTGAGTTGTTAACCAAACTCAAGCTACAAACGTACATCACAGAAGGCTCCTGTTAATGGACAGGTGTCTGTTGGGCTTATGCCAGTCCTGGGATGGGAATGGTCAGCTTTTGCCATGAGGGAGAGGTGGGTCATGAGGGTCACTATGGCCCAGTGGCTCTTTCTCATGACCTCCATCTTATGAGTAGGCTTGTGTGTTGCTCCTGTTTTACTTTACCTATAGTTATGTTCTTTAAAACCACAACCCCTCCTTATTTTTGTCTATGCTGGCTCCTCAGATCTTCCTTTCATGGCCCTGCCTCCCTGCCATGCCCTCTGCCAGTTCTACGTGGTGAATGGGGAGCTGTCCTGCCAGCTATACCAGAGGTCAGCAGACATGGGCCTGGGCGTGCCCTTCAACATCGCCAGCTACTCCCTGCTCACCTACATGATCGCACACATCACGGGCCTAAAGGTGGGCTACTCAGGAAGGAACAGTTGTTGCCTGCCTAAAGTGCTGAGCTCTTAGATTCTTTAACATGAAAAAAACTAATTGCACAGAATTCTGATTAGTTTTAAATAAGAAATGAATTGACTCACTCTAACTTTACTTGGAACTTTCCTGTCCTTGTGGTCTGTACTAACAGGCTCATATAGGTTGTTCATAATACAAGATAACTTTTATGAGTTAACTTTTTTTTAAAAGCAACACTGGTTAAATTCTTTATTTTCTGAAAAGCTTTGAGATGTCTGCATACTCTACATAGTGTGTTTTTAAATGATGTGTTATAAAGGGATTAAAACTAAAACACTCATTGTTTTTACTCCTCCCTTGCAATTCAGCCAGGTGACTTTGTGCACACTTTGGGAGATGCACACATTTACCTGAATCATATTGAGCCGCTGAAAATGCAGGTAAGAATTGTTATTTATCACACTTTGAAGGTTGGTCCTGTGTCTTGATAAAAGGTTGATTTTTAGAACCTCTCTCCTGTAATTGGCATTCTTCTTGGTGCTATGACAGAGATAAGGTGGCCTGCTTCAACTGCAGGGCTTCGGTTTAGGGACAGCTGGGGGGCGGGTGGGCAGAGATAAGGTAGGCACATGTCTCAGCAACCAAAGCACCTAATGTGACAAGTGCTATGGGAGACTAAGTACGAGTATCAGAGAGGGAGAGCCACATTCAGACCAGGGAATTTGGGACCTTCCCAGAGGTAGCATTTCAACTCATGAAGAATTTTTACTTGAAGAATTTAAAGTTAAATGTTCTGCCTTAAGTTTAGGCTAAATATAATATTTAGGTCTGAACTTTCAAAAATCCCTTCAAATCCATACATTGTTGGAACCAACAAATGATTTGAAATGGCAACAAAATGAGTATCTGTGCATAAATAGCCCCAAGGATAAAAATTATAAACCAAAAATCTTTTAGGCCCTCCTAGATTAGGTCCAAGCTTAGAAACCTTCTCCTTTGAGGAAATTTATCTGCTTTGACTTGGAGGGTGACTTCAAGGCTTACCCAGATGTTTCTCTCTGGCTGTCCCTATCATTCTGGGCAGAATAACATAAGGTTATGCATGACCTGTGTCCACATCCTCATTGCCACTGTGTTTCCCTTTTTGTTAATTGTCAATAGAAGTCATCTTTACATGCCCTTTCTGCCAGGGACAGTTGGAATGGGGATTATGGGACCTATGTAACCATTCTGAGTGCCTATAGACACAAATGTAAAAGGCGGGGTCCCATCCTTAATAAATTTACCAAGATCAGTCAATCATAAGGACTTACACTTGGTGAGCCACCAGGTTCCCGACACCGAATGATTCCACAAAATACCTTCCACTCTCCATGTGTGTGAGAGCATTGGTTGGTTATGCTCTAACAGTACGGTGTAACCGAGGAAAAGAGTTCTACAATGTTACAGCCCTGTAAAATAATGCTGATAAAATACTGTGTACTTATTTCATAAAGGGACATGCAGAGAAGAATTAAAGCAATAGGACAGATACAGCAAAATAATGGTCTTATGTTGTTTTTATCTTTTTTTAGCTTTGTTTTTTTAGGTGATTCCTTTTTTTTTCTTTTAAACTTTGATTGTCCCCCTTTTCCCTCCTTTGCCCACCTCTCCCCCTTATGTTGTTTTTAGCTTCAGCGAGAACCAAGACCTTTCCCAAAGCTCAAAATCCTTCGAAAAGTTGAGGCAATTGATGACTTCAGAGCTGAAGACTTTCAGATTGAAGGATACCATCCCCACCCGACTATTAAAATGGAAATGGCCGTTTAGAGTGCTTTTAAAGGAGTTGTTTGAAGGATACTGTCAATCTTCTTAAGGGTTGTTAGTTTAGATGCTTACATGAACGTTCTTTTTGCTCTAGAGTAAGAAGGAAGTAGGTCAAAAATCAGTTGCTAACCCGTCAGTTATTATTCATTAACTTAAGGCTGTTGCCACTGGCGAATATAACTGTGCTGGTTCTCTTGGTAATAAAAGGCCCTGAGCTTGAGTAACAACTCAATGAGAGTATATGGCAATGCTGAGATCTAATAAAGTGAGAAGAGTAAAAATGTATATATGCTTAACAAAAAACATGTGCATTCATTTCAATCCCATGTTTGTATAAAGGTTAATGAATTTCAAGAATTAAAGCTCTTCCGTCAAATTTGAGCAAGCTGAATAACATCAGTTATGATAATGTATAGTTGGTATGGTTATAAACATACAGAATTTTGTTTTACATATTGTTATAATAAAGAAGCATTCTGCATTCATCTGGGTTTTTTGTTTTTAATTCTCTATTGTCATTCTGCACAGTTCCTGCCTAAAACAGATGAACTAAACCCTCCTAAATAAACATGCTATGGATGCTGCTGACAAGGTTAGCATATATTTTAAAAATGCTGACTAAACTATATTAAACTTTTCTATGGTTTACCTAATTCTAGCTACATTTTATTAATAAAAATTATGTAGGATAAAGGATTTTTTTAAAGGTTATAAAAAAGTCTATGAAATAGCTGTTTGCCCTCATTAGTTTCAGTATGGTATGAATTCTATAATGTGTTTAGACTGAGCTGGAAAAGAGATGCTCTACCACTTCAGTGGAATCTTTGTTGCGTACCAGATAGCCCACGGTGCTGCAGAACTATTTTTATTCTGCTAATTTTTGACAAATGTTAAATAGAATAAGGACTTGTTCCAACAAATTATACAACATGCTTCTTATTTTCAAAGTACAGTTTAATGTCTGGGTACCAGCATTTGATAGAAATCTTAAGAGAACATCTTCCTGGACTTCAGGTTAGTTAAATCTAAATTTGTTTAAGGATTAAGAGTATATGTTGTTTGCTGAAAGAAGTAAGCATCATTACTGAGCCGATTCCTGAGGTTAATGTGACTCAGCTGAATTTGTTTTCATTGGTAGGATGATTTTTTTTTTTCCCAATTTTTGTAAAACCACACCCAAGAAATTTTAAACCTTTTTATTTAAAAAAGAAGTGGGTGTGAGGACTGAGTACCTAATTCCCTTGAGCAGCACGGAGTTTCTTCCAGACTTCACCATCTGGGTATTGGTGTTTCTTTATAGCTTTCTCCTTCATTTCTGTGGAATAACCAGCTTCCTATCAGACAAAAAGAAATATAGAGCAGTGCTAATAACCACCTGGAACAAAAAGCATTTATTTTATGTATTTCTGCTGCTCCTAGAAATGCTTTTAAATCTAAGCCAGAGGCAACTGAATCAATATTTTTAAAATAAATTTTCTGGTTGTTTGAAATAGAGAGGGACACACTATTGGCTACTTCCCAGGGTGGTTGAACTAATCAAATTTCCTCTGATAAGCCAACTTCCGTTTGTGAAAATAAGGCCTCATCTCTTGAAAATATTGAGGATAAATAGCCCAGATAATACAACTGTAATCAAAACTTGTCAGTTGATTAACCTGCTAGTCTGTGCCAGGTTTTTCTTTCTTTTTTTGGGGGGGGGGGCGTGGTTTGGGGTTGGTTGTTTTGTTTTTTTTTTGCACACGGAGTGCACATTTTAAGGTCTCAGCCTCTGAGGAAAGACTGACATTAGAGAAGCCTTGTCAGTGGCAATTTTACCCCCAAACCGTGACCTGCAGGTCTTGGGAATTTGAGGTTGATGAAGTAAAGAGCCATTTGTTTCTAGATATAAAAATAAACTCTAAGGTTTGTGCTCTAGGATCTAGTTCATGAGAACCAGTACAGTTGTGGCTTCCTCAGGAGGCCCTCCTGCCCAAGCTCACCTTAGGAGGCATGTAGGAAGCATTCTTGATTATCACAGGATACTTGAAATGTTCATGCAGGTAGTCGACATATTCACACATCCTAGGAGGAAGGGATCGGGGGGGGGGGCAATAATAAGGTAGATAATTCTCTTGGTATCAACTATTAAAGCAGAAAGGGTGATGCCACAGTGAAGAAAGGGTGGACTTGGTCAAGGCTTGGCTGATAACCACGTTTCCCTCAACCTCTGTGCCTCAGGTTCTTCTCACCTATGAAATAAAGCAATGTGGAGGCTTGGATGAATTGAACTGTGAAATCTATTTTAACTAAAGGTTTTGTGACCGCAAAAGCAATCAATTTAGCCATAAGGACCTGGGATTATTTGGGTGACTTTAGCCAAAAGTTAGATGAATAGATTAAAATCACCAAATGGGGTCCCTTTCAGCTATACAGATGATTTAGAAAAGCACAGGTTTTAGGATCAGACCAACCTGTTCAAATTTGGTGTCAGCCACTTTCTAGTTTTGTGACCTGGGATAAGTGGCCTGACTCTGCTGCCTAACCTTAGTCATCGTCTAAAGAACAGCTGTCGTGACGGGCAGGCATATGCCCTGTGCAGGGGATACACAAAGGAATTGGCTAGAGAGGGCCTCGTGGTTTCAGTGGACATATATACTAAGTCATCGACTCTACTGTTTGCTACCTATAATCTATAGAGGAGAGATGAAGAACCAGCCCCATGGGAGAGACAGTTGGGCCTTAAAGAATGAACAGAGAACAGTGTTCCACACAGAAAAATACAAAGCAGAGGTGTTGAGGTGTGACAGCACATAGTGTCTATCTGTGGCTTTCTACTTGCACAGTGACTCCTGAGCAGTGAGGTCTGCTTCCAGGAGAGTGTCATGCGGCACTTTCACCCACTGTTTTGGGGGCACAGTGCACGGTGGCTCAGGGCTGACCCTTTTTTTCTCATCCCTTAAGACCTGAAGAACCTTTCAAGGTTAGTTGGAACCCCTCCCCCCCTTGGTCCTGACTTTGAGAACTGAAATGAAAGGGGCAAAAATTAGAATAACATGGATTTAAAAAAATTTATCCTTTATTGTATTATTTTTTCCATTACCGCTTAGTCCTCTTATATACCCCTCCCCTCAGCCATCATCACGCTGTTGTCCATGTCCATGAGTCCTTTTGGAATTTTTTTAAAGTTTGAAATTCTTCTGACATTAAAAGGCAGCATATGCCTACTCACTATCCAGTTTAGGAATGAAACCAGTACTTTATCATTGAAGCCCCCAATTTCCCCTGACTGGTCCCACTCCTTTCTCACAATCCTGAATTTGGCGTTCACCTTCCCCATGCACGTATTGCTTTCACTATATACTTCTAGTGATCTTTTTGTGATACAGCATTTAATTTCAAGAGTAAAAAGCATAATAAATCCATATGTGTACAGACGACTAGAAGGATATTGTCTTAATTTGAAGCTCACCTGGGGCCTGTTGAGAAATCAAATGGAACTAAGTAGTAATGGTGTGACCAAATCAGGAAAGACTCCAGTGTTAGGAGGAAGAGCTTGGACAGAGCAAAGAACACACCTATGGTGAAAGTGGAGCTTTAGAAAGTTAGAAACAGGTGCTAGTTGAGGAAGGAGTTCTGGTTTTCATCTGGTTGAAAACTCATCTCCTAAACAGTGATTCAGCTACCAAGGACTGACCCTTCTAAAAGAAAATGGCTATTCACTGCTAGGTCTCTCCACATGGAGCAGTGGAAGCAAAACCAGCTTGGCCTTTGAGTCACAGAGTGTGCCAATGGACAGGGTTCTTAGTGCCTCTGGTCACAACGGCAGAATTAAAAGATCTGGCCTGGACTGAGGGACGCTACTGAAGTTAAGGGCAATTACCTGTTTGTGAGGCTTGCGGAGACTGATATGAAGTCAGATATAATCAGGTGCTGTACCAATTCACAGAGGCCTACTCCACCAGCGTGGGGGCAAACAGGAACTAAAATGAAGGCAGGTTTCTACTGAATGCCAAGAGTTGGGCAGAGAGAGGGGAGGGGTGAGAACCTGCAGTTTTTCTTATTGCCTACAAGTGATTAGATCATTCATTACTGTTTAGGGATGAAATTCCAGGATGAAAATTATCAAAGATTTCCTGATTTAGGGGGAAAAAAAACCCCAACCAAAATGACAAACTACAGAGGGAACCACAGGTGTCCCATGGAAAAGGAGGTTTTGTCTGCAGGCTGCTGTGCCCTTACTTCCAAACTTTTTGGCCATCAGCAACACTGAGAGGTTCTCATTGACACTTCCCAGCCTGCAGCTGTCAATCTGGAGAAACTGCAGGGCTTTCGCCTGTAGGAGCTGCTTAAATATTACTCTATTGTGGCACTGAAAATAGAATTACAATAAAACCAACAGAAGAATCAGCCCTGGCCTTCAGGATCTCTAAACCTGGCAACACACCAATTCCAAGTCACTCATTAGTGACCTTCAGAACGCCTGGACTGTGTGTATCCTTTGTTCTCACTTGGCATTAGGCACGCTCTGATTGTGCAGGTGGGGACCTTCCGCTCACTTCTTTACAAATCTGCTGGTGGAACAGTGTGAGTCATGTAAAGTCACATTGCTTGCCATCTATTAAGGAATAACTGCCCTAGTGAAATGAAGCATCAGCATGAAATACGGTGACAGTGATGAGCAGATGGCACGGACAACAAAACAGAACCATGGCAAAGCAGCATTGCTCCTTTTGCTGGGAAAACCCGAGACTCTGCTCCCTCTCCCTGCTCTGCTCATGGGCTGACTGCCGCAGGTTTTGGCAGCCATTTGTGCTTCGTTTATAAGCACAAAATGTGAATGCAATAATGTTTACTCAACTTGGAAGCTGGCTTTCTTAGAACCACACAGTGCGTTTTATGCCTTTGCAATAGCAAGTTTAAATTGCCTTATAAATTTCCATTAGACACTTTGATAAGAATAAATGATCTTAATCATTGAATTTTAGAATAACCCAGAAACTTGTGACTGTATCTGACTTTTCACTCTAATGAAGTGCTGTAAAATGACCCAATTTCTAAGATAATGAAAATTTCCCAACTCAAAATACAACAGGTAATGTAGCCTAATATGATGATGCCGTCAGTTGGTGGCCAGTGTGTATTGACCCTAAGGACACGTTACTTACCTGTTCTGTGGCAACGCCAATTCCTAATGGGACCAATGCCTATAAAATACAAGGCAACCTGGTGTTATTTTCATACGTTTTTGAATTGAAAATTTAGTGTTTAAAAATTCAGAGTTTAAAAATTTAGAGCTATATATTTAGTGTTACTCAGAGCTGAAGAAAGAAGTGTCTCTGCTGTGGAGTGGCACAAGGCAGTCAAGGGGAAATGTGTGCACACAGGAGGTGCTGCGTGTTTCTGTAGAGGAGAAAGACAGCACTTGTTCATGTGCTGCTCCCTTCCTGGCTATGGCTCTGCAGGTTCTGTCTGGAGCCTGGCTGTGGTGTGGAACTGGCAGAAGATACGAGCCACTGTGGCCAGTCACAGACAGGAGCGGTTCAACCTCTGGCTGAGTCCTTCTTATAGGTCATCACTCTCTTTATTCCCATCTTATTGCCCCCTTCAGTGGTTATTCTAGAACTCCTGAAGCTCAGTGGGTGACCATAGATCTTACTTCACAGGTCGGGCTCAGCGGGTGAGGTACTGGAATCTGGCAATACTGCTCTTTCTGTCCTTTCCGCCGAAGCTGCGTCGCTCCCCGCCACCTGGGCTCTAGGCCCACTACTCCAGCGCCCACTGGGACTGCACAGCCACACACTCCTCTCAGGCATCTTTGGTTTCTCCCTGGCTTGGCCTTTCCATTGTTTAGGGAATAGTATCAATGACGCTAATGGCTAACACTTTCAGGGTCCTTATTACCTGGCTTTGTGCAAAACCCTCAGTGAACTGATCCCTCATCACAACCTGGCTGGATAGAAGCCATCATGATCCCCATTTCACAGATGAGAAAAGGCACACAGGTGTATTCACTGTCCTAGTCAAAGCTTAGAAAGTTGAGCTGGGGCTTGAAATTTCAGCTAACTCCAGAGCCAGAGGAGGCATCTTAATCACTAGGTATGCTGACTTCCCTGCAGAAGCATCTTTCATTTAGGAGCCAGGTGTCCCAAATTCCACTACCTGGCCTGTCTTTAACAAGATATGCGGACTTCAGGGAGTCACAAACTACCCACAAGTCAGAGCAGAGTGGCTTGTGGCCAAGGTGCCATTCAGTGTCAACAGCTTATGGTGCTGAAACTCCTAATTTAAGTAGGCTTGGTTCTTTATTTCAAAAGAAAATGGGGATGAGAGGAAGGAGGAATGGTGGGGAGGAAAAGCCATTTGACTTATTCATCATACCATCTTTAAAGCATATGTTTCTGACTCTGAATATGTACCAAATTTTATTTCCTCCTTTAAATATTTCCTGAATCTTCCCTGTTCTAGCTGCCCTCCACCTCGCTTAATGCAAAAGCCTCCTAGCCCCATTCCAGCCTCCACTTTCTTTCTGACCATTCTCACCCCTCCTATACCCCCATGTTGCCCAACATACATGTTGCTACCAGTCAAACCATTGTTATTCTCTCATTCAAGAACCTGTGGTGCCTTGCTGTGTTCAGCCGCATCTTCTGAGCAGGTGGACCCATAACCTGGCCCCACATGCCCGCCTTCTCCACAAACCCCCCTCACCCCCACCCCATGCACTCCCATTCCACTGGGTTCCTCCATGGTTCCACTGTGCTGGCTATTTCAGCTTCCCCCAGCCTTGGTTCCTCTCCTCCTCGACTTCTTCAGATGCCTTCTGAGGGGATGGCTTCCCCCATGTAAACAAACCCTCAGAGGGTTGAAGCCCAGAAGAGCTTCTGAGGAGACTCTCCAGGTGGCAGAGGTTCCGACCTTCTTTCTGCTGCCCTCAGCACTCAGAGCCCCGGCCCCGTGCTCCACCTGTCTCTTTCATGGATCCTAGTTTTCTCTCCAGCCAGGCTGTAAAGTGGGGAAAGTGGAAGGCATTCCTTAAACACAGGTTTTTGTAGTGTCCAAAATATGGAGATCCTATGTTGATTTACTGAGAGAAATGGACCCCACATCCCAGTAGGACCTGTGACTTCATGTAGGTACATAATGAGGTATCCCTCCTGGAACTGGGGACTAAGATTGTCCTTAGAGGAAAAATTTCAAGAGCAACACACAGAGGGGGAGAGTAGAGCAATGCCAAGTCACCTCAAGAAGAAAAAACATTTCCTAGGCTCCTAGGCAGGTGGGCCTGGCCTCTAAACCAAATGAACATACTAACCCAATGGCACAGCGTGGTGGGAAAGGGTTATTCGATGAAAACATAAAAGGGGAGTCAGAGGCATATGATAGCTGGGCCTGTACAAGTACTGTCTGGGGAGGTTTAAGACTCCACATGGCTGGGGCCAGACTGAAGCAGGTATAGCTGCACTGCAAAGAAGGATGTGTTGGGCCATCTTGGTTTGACATTAACACATGTTCCAACCCCGTTGACCAGTTCCTGCCCTGATTCCTCCCTCATCCAGGAGCCTTTGGTTGCATATGGAACTTGCTCTGGTCAGAGGATACAAAAATCTAGAGCTTCCAGAAGTTACAATTTTCCTTCTAAGTTAACCAGCTGGCATTCTGGTTTTATATATCAGTGCTGTAAGCTGGGCTAATGGGAGACTCCACTCCCTGAGAGGTGAGATGCTTCTCAGCTATTCTAACAAATCAGGTTCTTCCTAAACCTGAAAAGGAGAATGGCCAGCTCCCAATTAGGGTGGATTTGTGGAAGTGAGCCCTGGGACAGGGAAAGAAGCAGACAGCCTTCACCTGGTGAGGCCTGACCTTGACATAGCTGAGCAAGCCTTTCTTTTGAGTCATCTAGAGGAACCTACTTTTTTTTTTTTTGTTTTATTCTGGGTGAGTAAAATATTTTTAATATCAATCAGATTTCTATTTCTAGTCATGAGACCATGTCTATTAACATCGACAGGACAGTGGGTAGCCTTTCAGCTTTTAGCTATTTGCTTTCTCTAAAATAAATAGAAATAAGGGCAGTCAATAAACTTAAGTGAACAATTATTTCACCTACTTTATCAGGAAAAGTAAAGGGAAATAGGCGAAAGAATTTTAGAATCTGTTGCAACCACCCTGGAAAACCAAACAAAAAATAATATGGCAGTGATAGGACAGCAGCAGCTGCAGTTTTTCTACCTTGGAGATGATGGCGTGTCCCAAAATGTCATCAGGGGAGGTTGGCTCCTCAGTCCACAGTGGCTTGAACTCAGCCAGCTTTGACATCCACTCCACTGCCTCGGGCACATCCCAGTGCTGATTGGCATCCATCATCTGTGAGGAGAGACCTTCGGGGTGAAGTCTTCCAGGTGCTGACCTTGCTTCAGGGCTGTGGTTCCCAGAATGGAAATGCTGTCACTAGTACCACCAACTACTGAGCAAGGCTCCCATAGGGAGCTTGACGTTTCTTCTTTGGAGAACCATCATGCAGCCATAACAAAGAGTCAAAGAGTAGCCATAGAGATCAGAATTTTGGTTCCAGATACTGTTAAGTCCTCAATTATGAGTGCTGTAAGAACTTAACTCTTATTTGTATCAATTAGCCTATGGTAAAGTTGGTTTCCTTATACATTATTTCACCTAAAGTTACAGAACCTATCAACATCTCTAAGTGAGGCCTTACTGTACTGTCTTTGGAGGAGATGTCCAGAAGTGCCCTGAATGGGGCCGACAACAAGTGCTCCCTGGCTCTGGAGCTCTGACCCAGTCTGCATTTAGATGCCACCCGAATATATTTGTGTTGCAGTGTTCATTGTTTGTAGGAACCATTTTATCACATTCTGAATCATGGACAGCCAATACTGAGTTTGTTCAATGGTCATTCATTGACTATTGCTTGCTATGTGTCTGGCACAGTGGTAAATAACCAAACTCTACCATTAGTCTCACACCTATGCCACTAGGCATTTTATGCATTTTTTCCATTTAATATTTATAATAACTCTATGAGGCAGTTCATATTAACCCATCTTACAGCTAAAACTGACATGCATAAAAGTTAAGTAATTTGCCTATGAATAATAAGTCAAGTAAATGGTGCTTTCAAGTCTAGGCCTCTTACTCCAAGGCCCTAGGCCTCTTTGTGCAGAGATCCTGCCTGAAAGCCACGTGCTGGGTCTGCAGAAACTAACGAAGGGCCCCTCCATTCCTGATGTTATCTTGTTTCAAAAACAGAGACACAGAGACAGCCATCTCTTGCACAGCGATATTCCACATTTTTCATCTCATGGCACATATAAACTAATTACTAAAATTCTGCAGCACGCGAAAAAATATATTTGTTGCCAATCTTACCAAAAATAGATATAATTTTGATTAATTTATGGAAAATAATAGCAATTATCTACACTTTTTGCTGCAATGTGACTTTTAAAAAAATCAGGTATCACCTCGGCTAGTGTGGCTCTGTGGATTGAGCAAAGCCTGTGAGCCAGGGGTTCACCAGTTTGGTTTCCAGTCAGGGCATGTGCCTGATTTATGGGCCAGATCCCTGGTTGGGGACGTGCAAGAGGCAACTGATCAACGTATCTCTTGCACATCAATTTTTCTCTTCCTCTCTTCCTCCCTTTCTCTAAAAATAAATAAATAAAATCTTTTAAAAAATCAGGTGCCAATACTTGTATATAAGTATTTCTGGTACCAAGAATTAACCAATTAGATACAACCTTATTATGCAACATGACCAATAAGATGCAACTCTATTTTATGACCTATATATTTATGGTTCAAGACAAGGTATTCACACTAGGCAGCTATTGTTGTGTTGGCTGTTGTCATTTTTTTATTTGACAACCTAAGGGAAAAAATGTCAGTGCCCCTGACTAAGTAGTCAAGTATTGATCTTGTGGCATACCAGTTGAAAGTTGCTGCTCTAGTCGAATGTGCTACGTGGTAAAAGTGCCTTCATAGAACACTATGAGAACTAGGGGACAGTACACCCAGAATCAACTATTATAAATAATCTGGATGATGATGACCTCATAAGTAAAAAAAGTAGCATTAATTCACATATCAATAATGGGACATCTGATCCTAGGTCAAGGACTCCAAACATCTATTTTAACTTAGGAAACATGTCTCTAAAAGTTCATAAAAAAACATCTTATTATGACTTCCTTTTATGAAAATATTTTAAATGTAATAATAACTGTTTTCAAGACTCTGCAGTTAGGAATACTGATCCTTTCATTTATCTCAAAGTTCCAGCATTTCTTCAACAATGACTCTCTGAGACCCACTTACCTGATGAGCTACATGTGGGGCAGACTTGTTAAGAAGGTAGAGGAAATAGTTCATCTCCCTGGGTCACACTGGGGCACCCATGGGAGAACTGCTTGCCCAGGTGCATCCATATTAGCAAGAAGGAACAATCCCTAATCCTGATCTTAACTAGTTCTGCAGAATTTAAAAAAAAAAAATTAACTCTCAGTCCCTGCAATTGTTTGCTTTTTAAAGAGTTCCCCTACTGTAACAAAACCACAAAGCTATACTTCCTCTGGCATTCAGTTTTAAAATTCCCAATGTTTTTTAATCCTTGATTGAAATTTGTAGTTTGGCCCTGGATAAAGGCTTCCTGTAAGGCTACTTATTTCTCAATGGGAGGAGAGGATGTTTACCAAAGTCTTCTCAGGTCCAATTATGTCTCTGATGAGTCGGCACCTACGGATGTCATCCTGGAGATCAGCACCAACTTTTACCTTAAACCTGTAAAATTTGGTTTGATAGTTTATACGTCTGACTTAGCAAAGATATCTGGATTTTCTGCAGGAGTGACTGTCTCTGTCAATAATTCACAGATCACATTTTCTAGCAACTTCTTGCCTTTCCCAATCTTCAGAGAAATCACTTGAGAATAATCCTACAAATAGTATCTCTTTTTTCACTGTCATAGGGCAATGACTATAAAATACTTTCTGACCTAAAGTTAAGAAACCAGAGAGAGCAGTTAGATTTTTAATAACATTAACTGAGTTTTTGCTGTGCCATGAAAAAGAATTAAGGATGAGAAAGGCACAGGCTTCAAGAGGAGAATGGGGACTGGGAGAGAGAGCTGAGTGAGTCCTCCCGTCATATCCCGAATGAAAAGGGTAGAGTTGACAAAATATTCCTGTCTACAGTCCTTTACAAGAGGGCTTCATCCTAAATCAACTCGGTGAGGTTGGCTACAGGGACCCTGTGGTGCAGGGGCCTTGGTTACATAATTAGGGAGTAGCAGGGGTCTCCTTTACATCATCGCTGGCCACTGCAGGAGCTCCCTTAATCTGTTTTGACACCCAACTACTCTCTAGACCTGGGCCTCCACGCTGTTCCCCGTGACTCTGCTGAAGTTGTTTGATTTGTCAGAAGAGATGTGGTCAGCATGACTGTGAAATGACCACATGCAAGGTGAAACTGGCACCCTCTCCCTTGCTCACCAGCCTCTCTGCCCTGCACACTCAACACCAAGGCTGCTGCTCCAGACAGAACCTGAGGTCCTTCCCCTACCCTCCATGATGCCCACCCTCTATGCCAATGAAAGCCCCCTGCAGAACACCACACACACTCAGCCACCTGCTGCCATTCTCTCCCCTCCATTCAGCATGAAACACATTTCTATCCCAGGTGAGAGCTTCAGCTTCTGGATGTGGGCTTCCTATGAGGGGAGGCCTTTGCAACCTCCCCTCAGCCTTCTCTGACTCACCAGATATGACTGTGCCAACCTTTCCTGGGTGTGTGCAGAGAGGGAAGGTGCCAGGATTTACTGAGCACCTGCAATGAATCCTGACTGTGCTGGTCCTTTTCTGATATAGCAACTTTGAGAAGAACCAAGAGTTAATATTATTCCCTACTTGTAGAGAGAGAACATGAAGTTCAAAGGGGTTGAGAAATTTGCCCATGATCACACAGAAAGTACTTGCAGGCAATGAGGGAAAAAGGTAAGATTTGATTCCAAATCCATCACATCTCTAAGCCTCTTTCCACCACATCATGTTGCTTCCTTCAAGTTCTTAATCCCCACCCTGTATTAGCTGAGGGGTTCCTAAGGATTCAGCGCCCTCAAACACACACATCACGCAGGAGTCTTGTTAAAATGAAGATTCTGACACAGCAGATCTGGGGAGAGGCCTGAGAGTCTTCACTTCTGACCAGCTCCAGGGGATGGTGATGCACCCGTTCCATAGACCACACTTTGAGCAGCAGGAGACCAGGTTGCCAGACTGACTGAGGGTCATGTAAAGCCTGGGGATTTATCTCAGGCAAATAAGCCACCTTTAGCTGCACTGATGGACTCACAGTGACTAGATCAAGAGATGATGGTCCCTTTGTGTCCTGTACTGTGTCAGAATCCAGGGCCACTAGTTTATCCAGAGGAAGACCCTAGGATGCCCAGGGCTCCACAACCACACAGGAGGGAAGTGCAGATGGTTAGTCTGGATAGAACGGCCCAGAAGAAGAGAAGAGCTGTCTCGAGGGCTTGGCTTTGGAAAACTCTGTGCAGATTTGGAACCAGTGACTGAAAATCATATGGAAACAAAGGGCTTATGACATTGAAGCTCTTTCTAACACTTGAAGCCCTCCAACAATGCAAAAGTTCCTTCTAAAGTTCAGCTCACTGCTTCTGGAGGTTTTCAACTAAAAGCTCAATCAATGTTTGGTACTGATGGTGAAGAGTAAATTTCTAGTGGATTTCTAAGAATCTGCTTGCACTGATTGGTGCTTGAAACCAGTGATCTCCAAGATCTCTTTCAACCCTGATGTTCCATGATTCTAATTAGGACTCATGTCTTATCTCTCTCTTTTTTTTTTTAATCCTCACTTGAGCATATGTTTACTGATTTTAGAAAGAGATGAAGGGAGAGAGAGAGAAACATTGATGTGAGAAACATTGATCAGTTATCTCCATACGCTCCCCCACCAGGGACCAAACCCATAACTTGGGTATGTGCCCTGACTGGGATCAAATCTGCAACATTTTTTGGTGTATGGGACTTGGCTCCAATCGAACTACCGGGCCAGGGCCTTGTGTCTTATCTTTGGATAAAGAGCCTGGCCTAGGCTGAAATGTCTCTTATGTGTCCCTACATACCAGACTGCTCTTGGAAGAATCTTGATCTTAGTGCCTCTTGATTCTGGCCCCTCTCCATTGCTGAGCCTCTCTTGCTGCCAATTGGAAAAGTCAAGTTTATTATCACACAAATAACTTACCTGGTCCAGCCGCTCTTCAGGGCCTCCGTGCAGAGCTATGGAGAGAAGTGCACAGCCATCACCATACACTGAAAAGCTCCCTTGGTCTATTGAGCACCTCATTTCTGATCTGGTTTCACAAACACTCGTTGTAGCAGGAACCAGAAGAATAGCCATGTGTTGTTGAAATTCACAGCAGAAACAGCTTAGCCAACAAGCATAACTCTTTGTACTTGCAGAGTGACTTTTTTCCCTTGTCTCTACGGTAACCGTTTCTTTAATTGTCACAACACTCCTGGAGGGGGAGTGCAGCATTTATATCCCTCTTTTTAAAGCCGTGATATTCTGTGGCATCCACAGGACTAATGGAAGAGTAAGAAATGGTATCTAGCTTCTCTCTCTCTGTCTCAGTTGTGGGTGGGTACAGTACAATAGAGTGATGAGTCAGCCATACAATTATTGAATGCTATGTGTCAGCCACTGTGATGTGAACACTATCCAGTTCACAGCATTTTTCTGAATTTTCAAAACCAGCCATGAGGTAAGAGATTATTTCCCCATTTCTCTACGAGGAAGCTGAGACTCAGCTTGATTATGTGTAACACTGTACAATAGTATGCTGCTGCCTAGGCATACTATTCCAGTTCCTCTGCCTAGGAATCAAATCCTTTCAGAACCCAAAGTGGGAGTCACTGGTCACATCGTCCCAGCTGTCCCATGTCAGAGTCCTGTGTCCACAAAGTGAATGGCTTTGCTTTTGCTTGAGTAAAAGTACTTCTAGAATGAGGCTTTGGAGCCATAAGGATTTAGAAAGGCTAACAAGAAAATATTAAAACTCTTCCAGGAAGCCAGGAACATAAAACCTGTCTACCAAACCAGGTTCAAATGCTCACCTGCTTCAATGTGTCATCTGAGTACCCCAGCCAGGTGCATGATGTGGTGTAGGCAGGGTAACCATCCATTAGCATTTGCTCTTCTGTGGAAACACAATGCTTGTCAACACTTTGTTCTTTCCAGGGACCTTCAGAATTAGATTGGCTGCAGCTAAGCTCCTGCTCCTCAGAGAATCTCCTTCTGATCCTGCACCAGCCCTTAGTCCAGCCCCTGGATGCATTCAGGATCATGCACATTCTGAGGATGTCAAAGTGGGGGGTGTGGGGAGAGGGGATTACGGGGTGATCAGGATACCATCTAGGACTGCCCACTAGCCAAGGGCCTTCCTGCATAGTCAAACAACACTCAGGAGGCTTCTTCCTCCAGATTCAAGTGGCTGTTAAGGACCTGGCTGCTGGGCATGAGGCATTTGGAAGGACAATGTGAACCCCCAAAGGACAAGGGCAGTCAAAAGTAAACAATGAGAAAAATAATGAAGGAAATTTCCTCATAACCCGCCTCTCTCTTTTTTACCAACTTGACCTTCCTGCAGTATTTCTGGAAAAAATAAGAAACATCATCACTCTCTTAGACAACAAATGTTTCACATGCTATGTTGTTTACACATAAGCATGCGCTAGAAAGTTTCCAGTCCCATCACTTGAATATGACTCACCGTAGGCTTCCTCCTCAGTCAGGACATCAGTGATGTACCTGAAATCAATGCAGGATAGCAGTGTCCTGGGATCCTGGCAGCGTGACAGGAGGAGGAAATGGCTGGAATCAATTCAGAAGTGGATTGTGTTTCCAAGAATCTGCTTAGACTGATACTTGGGCTTGTGCTTTTGGGAAATGGCCTTTGGGATTTGTGTTACATCGTTTGACTCCATCATCCCTTGGTGTAGAGTCCTTCAGAGGGTCATTGCCATCCTCTGATGAAGTCCTTAGGCCCTTATGCTCAGACCGACCCCTTGCTCCCTCCTTATCTCTCCTTTGCCTCAAAACTTAGGCTCCCCATTCCAGACTCTGGAAAGAGGACGGGGCATGAGGTTAGCACTCAGCACAAGTTAAGTGAATAGATGAGCACAAGATGTCACTCAATGTGTCACTGCTTCCACATTTCAGGCTGACCGTGATACTAAGCAGCTTAGAGGGAGAGGAAAGAAGGCTGATCTCAGAGCCAGGCCACACTGGGTCAACCCTGTGGCCACTGATTACCAGCTGCATAACCTTGGGCAATTCCCTCTACTGTCAAATAGGGACCACTCGCTTTGCTGACAGGAACAGAGTGGATTGAAAGTGAGCATGCCCAGCATGATGATCACTCCCTGGATCATCACTAGCTGCACTCTCTCCACCCCTTCCTGCCCCAGGCTTGGGCTCTGGCCACATTAGGAGGAGGACATTCAGCTAGGCCTCTGGCTGAGACCTCCCTTCATCCCAACTAACAGACACTTAGGAAGCAACCGGGAGCTTTCCCACTCAGGTTTTACTGTGCCCAATAGTATTCCACTATAACTGTTAAAAATCGTAGTTCTTTCTATGCTGAGGTTCTCCTTCTTTTATGAATGCTGGCATTGAAAGAGGGAACAGAATCTAAAGAATGAGAAGTCCACAAGTGGGATTTCAGGCACCCCAGGTCATTCAGTTTTGGGGGCTTCCTCTTGCATCCCTCTCAAAGGATAACCTTGAGCATGAAGCTGGTTGAAGAAGTCCCATCCTTCCCCTTCAGATGGCACCCCCATGCTACCCACAGCCCTGTCAGAGAGACAGTGTGATATTCTCCTGTCTTCACTTTCCTCCAGAGAAGGGAAAGCATCTGTTGGCCCAACTGTCTTTAAGGCCATGGTGTCCTCTTTTTTCCTTAATTGTGATGCCAAATAATAACAAGGGCCTTCATTTGTTGACTAGGAGTATTTTAGTGACCATCCAAGGCATCACCCTGAGGTAGCTGATGCTCAGAGAGGTGAAGTGACTTGCCCAAGGTCACCCAGCCAGTAAGTGGTAGAGCCCGGATTCAAAGCCAGGTCCTCCTGATACTGCAGGTGCTCATCCCTGTTATAAACAGGTGGAGGAGAAAGGAGAGCGAGGTATGTATCTTTCAAATTCAGTGTTTGGCTCCTGCCCTGATGGATCATACAATGGAGACACAACAGTCTCTCATCTGTCACTCTATTTCAAAATCAAAGTGACCAAATAATATCTTAATAATAATATCTTGCTCTTCAGGGTTTGTAAATCACTTCTCTCATTTGGTCCTTGAACCAATTCTACCAGGTTCCCAGAGAAGGTATGATCATCTCTTTTTCATAGTTAGAAAATGGAGGCTCTGAGAATTTGCATTACATAAGAAAGCTCTGCGGTGGGGGAGGGGGGCCTAACTCAATGCGTCCCCTGGGGCCACCCAGGGATCCACAGACAGGCCTGACTATATTTACTGATTATCAAAAGGCAAGTAATCCATGAAATCCATTTATTTACAGAAACAATTATAATGTGAAAGAATTTACTTACCATGTCGACAAGTAACTTCCACAGAGGCTTGAAGAAAAAAAGATTTGTAAAATATATGCATCAAGTATGAAAGTAAATGAAAATTCCCACTATCAAACACCTGTCCACTTGTCTCTTAATACCGTCTCCTAGCCCCTCACTTCTGCCCACCCTCTACTTCTTTTTCAGTCCTTTCTAACCTACTTCTACAGTCTCCTGACTACTGCCAATACCTCTAAGGGAGAAAAAATAAAAATCAAACAGTTGCCTCTGTTTCCTTTGGGGGCCAGCTATGTATTTGTCTTTCAGGCTGGTTATAGAGAAAGTATCTATTCCCCTGCACATGCCGTGTTTTTCCGCAGAAATTCTCCTGAGTTACCTTTCTCTCCTGCTTGGCCCACAGGTCCCACACAGCATTGAGAACGGCTGCTGTAGCCAGATGCACAACACCTTTCTCAGGACCGATCTAGTTAGGAAGCAAAACACACCAGCATATCTTAGAAATAAATGAAAAAGATATTTAGGTCCCCTGGCCAGGGTCACATTTCAAGAATTAAGAGGCAGCAATTGAAACTCACTTAAAAGGCTAAGTGGTTTTTTTTGGGGTTTTTTTTTTAAATAGTGACTACAGACGTGTTTCATGAATATTGCAGAAAAACCCTCCTGTACATACAGGGTCTGGCAGAAGTAATACTTGCTTGAGTGTTAATAAGTGCATATCAATAACAGGCGAGCTTCATATCTGACACAGAGCAGGGCTACTGAGAATCAGTTTGCATGTCAGTAACAGCAGGGTAGCTTCATACCTTATATGCAAAGATGAATATTTTGCATATCTACAGGGACAACCAGGAAGATTGGCATAACTTAAACCCAGGATGCACCTGGAAGGAAGTTCCTCCTACCGCCCCCCCCTCCCCTTACAGTGCCTGTGCATGAAAACTCAGACGGTTCACTCCACACCACAATTCGAAGACCATGCAGGAAGGAAATGAGAGAAAGGACCCTTGCTAGTGGGCCATGAGAAGGTGCCATGTGGGTTTGGATTAAGAACTGGAGATCGCAGCAACAGAGCTGACGGTGCTGGGAACCGTGAGAGGCCTGACTAGCCGAGGTCTGGACTTTTGTTCCTTTTCTTCTGAAGCACGGTACCCTTGACTGGCCTGACTGGGCAAAGAGGAGGAAAGGCAGGACTGTGTGTGTTGGGTGTTTTAAAGGGATTTTGAGATTTAAGGGCAACAATTAGCCATTACTCAAAACCTGTTTAACTTTTGAATTAATAGTTCCTTCCCTTTTCACCAAACCCTGCCATTGAGAGCCATAATTTCTATGGACGGTGGGCAAAGAACCTAGAACAGAGGGACCCTGGGGCAGGGGGGCAGTGTATCAGTGACAGTATGTGGGCCCCTCCCACTGGGTCCATTATTTGGTAACACTTGGTAGGGTAATAATATGGGTGTAATAGTTTATAGTTTTAATTTGAACATTTCACCTAAAATGTCGTATGGTGTGTTTGAGTGTGATATTGTTATATTACAGAATTACATGGTTATGATTTTGTAATAAAATAAGGGTTTTATTTGTGCCAGACCACTGTATATTTCTTCTGTCAGTTGCTTGTATGGAAAATAATATAATAATTAATAAATAATATAAAAATAAAATCTGTTATGTGTACTCACAACTGTAAACCTACTTTTCCTCAACACTGTGTGTATATATATTATATATAATAAATATATATTTATAATATATATTTTATCTTTTATAAATATATCATAACATTTATTTTACTGAACTATTTTTTTAGTAAGTTGCAGATGTTATGTCCCTTTAACCCAAAATATTTCAGTGTGTAGTTCCTAAAAACAAGGATATTTCTCTTATATAACCATAGCACAATGATCAAATTCAGGGACTAGAACATTGATAGAATTCTAATACCTAAAAGACTGTTCATAATCAAATTTCACCAATTGCTCACATAATGTACTTTATTTTACTCACATATTGCATTTAGTTGTGTCTCTTTAGTCTCTTTTTATCTGGGACAACTTTTCTATTTTAAAAATGCTATTGAAGCCCTGGCTGGTGTGGCTCAGTGGATTGCGTGCTGGCCTGCGAACCAAAGGGTTGCTGGTTCCATTCCCAGTCAGAGCACATGCCTGGGTTGTGGGTCAGGCCTCCAGTAGGGGGTGCATGAGAGGCAACCACACATTGATGTTTCTCTCCTTTTCTTTCTTTCTCCCTTCTCTCTTTAAAAATAAATAAATGAAATATTTTTAAAAATAAACATGAAAATGCTATTGACATTTTTAAATTATATTTTGTTGATTATGCTATTGCAGTTGTCCTAATTTTTCCCCTTTGCTTTCCCCCACTGAGCACCCCTGAACTCTCTCAGGCAATCCCCCCACCCTTGTTCCTGTCCATGGGTCATGGGTGTAAGTTCTTTGGCTACTCCCTTTCCTATATTGTACTTTACATCCCCATGGCTGTTCTGTAGCAACTTATTTGTACTTCTTATCCCCTCACCTCTCACCCATTCTCCCACACCTCCCCTTCCCATCTCTTTATCTTTAACCTTTTGCATTTTAATTATGATGTGAATTGAGGTGGGCCTCTTTGTGTCCATCTTGTTTGGGACTCTGTGCTTCCTGAACTTCCATGTTTATTTCCTTCACCAAATTAGGGAAGTTTTCTTTCATTATTTTTTCAAATAGCTTTCTAATTTCTTGCTCTTTCTCTTTTCCTTCTGGCACCACTATGAAATGAAAGTTGCATTGCTTAGAGTTGCCCCACTGGCTCCTTATACTATCCTGATTTTTTTGGATTCTCATTTCTTCTTGTTGTTCTCATTGGTTATTTTTTTGCTTCCCTATGTTCCAAATCATTGATTGATTCTCGGCTTCATCACTCTACTTTCCCTGCAAATTGTTCTTTATTTCAAATTGGTGTATCCTTTTTTCTAACTGGATCTTTTTTATGCTGCTGAGGTCCTCACTAAGTTCCTCCAGCATCCTTTTAACCAGTGTTTTGAAACTCTGTATCTGATAGGTTGTTTATCTCCATTTTGCTTAGTTCTTTTTCTGGAGTTTTGATCTGTACTTTCATTTGGACTATGTTTCTTTGTCTTCTCATTTTGGCAGTCTCCCTGTGTTTGTTTCTATATATTAGGTAGAGCTGCTTTGACTACATGTCTTGGTGGTGTGGCCTAATGTAGTAGGTGTCCTGTAGGGTCCAGAGGCACTGCCTCCCCTGTCACCCAAGCTGAGTACTTGAGGTGGCTACTTAGGAAGAGATACAGGGACTAAGGGCTTACTAGGCTGGTTGTTGCTTGTTTGAGAGGATTTAGGAAGCATGAGCCAAGATAAGCCTTTCATATGAAAAAGCCACTATTCACAGCTTGGGTCAGTTGGAAATTTGGGTGGGATGGGAGTCTCAGGAGATATCCAGGGCAGAGCAAACAGTGTTAGCCAGGTTGATGGAGTCTTGTGTATAGCACCAGCCTGCCAGCTCTGTGGCTCTATGGGGTAGGGCTCAGAAAAGGGGCAATGGCCTCTTCCAGCCTTTCTGCCTGGGAGAAAGCTGTCCTACATCTCTTTCCATGATGCCAGACACTTCGGTTCCTTCCTGTATGCCACTGGTGCCTTTCAAGCTGATATCCCAGTGCTGGAGCTCAGAGGGAATGAGTCTGAGTGAGTCCATGTGTGGGTTCTTTTAAAAGAACTGCTTGGGACTATAGAAGTTTCTTCTATTGACTCAATCCCTGCTGGTGTTTGCAGCTAGATGCTATGAGCATTGGAACCCTGAGCTGGGGGCCTTATGTGGGTTGGGACTCCTTGCTCCCTAGATACCCCTCCCAAATTTTTATCTACCACATATGGATGTGGGACCAGACTGTTTCATGTCTCCGTTCCTCCTCCCAGTCTGGATGGATGTGGTTCTTTTAATTCTGTAGTTGTCAGACTTCCATTCAACTCAGTTTCTGATGGTTCTGAGTGATGGTTGTTTGGTAGTTTAGTTGTAACATTGGTGTGGTTGTGCAAGGAGGCGAGCTGTGTTTACCTATGTCTCTATCTTGACTTGAAGACTCAGGGCTTTTAACTTTTAGCACTTGGGTAATTTAGCATCCATTAGGTTCCTGTACTGTGAGGTTACTGTATTTCCTTTCTAATAAGGAGATTAATATTGCCCCCAACATTTTAGCATTTATTGAAATTCTTGCCTCAAACAATTATAGTTATGATGGTTATAATATGGTGATTGTATAATGTTATCATTCTTATATATTAGGTTGTGTTCTGTTGACAATCTTTCCCTTGTTGTTTGTGTACTATCTAAATGGACTCATGGATTCCTGCATAATTCAAGGAATTATGAGCCATTGCTACCATATTCATTTTGATGCTTGAATTGACCCAGATTTGGCCATGGGAGCTTCTTCAAGAGGATTCCTTTAAAAATGAGTTTAACTTTGCAGAAGTTACAAATGAAATCTGAGGCATTGTGAAAGAGCATTCTCTTGTGCCTTTCTCTATTCATAGACAGAAGACTAAGCAAAGTTAGGAAAAGACAGAGCCAGTGTCAGCAGGCAAGGGCAAGGTCCCGGTTACTAGTTTGATCTTAAGGTGATAGAATCCTTTCTTTGGGAACCACACTTTTTTTATGCCTTGAACTTCAAGTTCAAATAAGATCTATACACATAAAAGGTGCTCTGATTTCTATCTTTCCCTTTTTAAAAAAATTCTCACTCAAGGATATGTTTATTGATTTTTAGAGAGAGAAGGAGAGAGGGGGGGAGAGAGAGAGGGAGAGAATATCAATGTGAGACAGAAATATTGGCTGGTTGCCTCCACTACATGCTCTGGCTGGGGATCAAACCCACAACCTAGGTATGTACCCTGACCAGAGATGAAACCTGCAACCTTCTGGTGTATGGGATAATGCACCAACCAACTGAACCACCCAGTCAGGGCTGGTCTCTATCTTCTTAACTTCCCTTACGTTTCTGTCCTTAATTTAATACTACTCACATTATCTCTCCCCCAGGACGGTTGGCCATTCAGTGCTTAATCCTCTAGAGGGTCTAGACTACTTCTTCCCATTCAGGGAGTGGAGATGAAACCCAAAAGGGCAGATAAAGCTATCAGTATCCAAATATGCCCAGATTCAAGTCTTATAGAAAGTAATCAATGGCCTCAAAATATGGATTATCTAATGGTTCAAGTCCTAATTTAATTTAAGGTAAAAATGTTTTACCTTAAAGTTTTAAACCTGTCATTAATTTTATGTTTTTCACAGAGGACATCTTAGAGACCTTAGTAACATTATTAGCAGCAGCATTTTACAAAATAGACCCCTTACCCATCTGAGCTGCCCATCACTTGTGAGCTGCCTGTAGAAGCCTCTGAAGTCACCAACGATGTCCCTAAGGTCCTTGTTAAGCACATGGTGGGGCCAGGGCATTCACAGAACAGACAACGGTAAAAAAAGATTTAGCTCTTGTGTATGTTTTGGTATGAAGTCAACAAATTAAGATATGCAAGCACCACAAGCAAACTAATGCTGGCATTTTATGAAAATAATTTAAATACAAAAGGTATATGCTTTTACAAATTGTCCCGCACATGGCTTCTGTGATTATCACAGTAATAGCACACAGATGGAACAGCTGTTAATCTGTATACCGAGCTTAATTTATGAATCAGTTGCCATGTGAAAAACAGACTGTAGATCTGAAAATTTAAATCATGTTCCCAAATTATTTTCATGTTCACTTTGTAAAGTGTCCTGATAGTCAGATCCAAAACCAAACCTTGCTAGTTCATTGTTCCAAAGGAAGAAGAGGACTAACTTATAGAATTTTTTAAATGCCTTTAAATTATCGTCAAGTATGTAAAATATCTTGAATTCACAATATAACACACTATTAAGGATGAAATAAAATGAATTTGCAATTAACTTAATACATGTAAAATGTTCAAGTACATGAAAACACTATCCAGAAACATTAAGTTGCTTACTACTGACTTATACTATATTTTTCATAGGTAATTTGAAGGTTAAAACTAATTTGGGTCAGTGTTATCATCAATTATTTATTTTTGGCGTTTTACTTAAAAAGGCTTTAATTTTGTTATTCCAGATGAAAAATAAGTAAAGTAAGAAATTAAATGGGAATTTCTATTCTGTCTATCCTTTGCTCAGTAAAACACTTTGTCTATGTGTAAATGGCTAAAATAATCAAATCATCAACTTATCCCCAAAGCAATTAATTTATTAAAAAAAATTTGATAAACTTGTTTGGTATTGCCATAGTTTCAATATTAAAATTATCAGGTAATTTAATAGGATAATTGTTCAGGTGCAGTTTTAGTATCAATCATATCCTAGGAGAAAGACCTTTGAAAGTATTTGAAATGTACTCTTTAACATGCCTACCCTCTGGATGAAAAAGCTCTCAGACAATAGTGTACATGCTCTTGTATAGAGCATTTAGGGCTAAACCAACCATGTTGTGTTCTCTAGGGGTTTTTTTAATGAGATACAGAATCATTATAGTCTATATATTCATACCCTAGAGTTGTGGGGAGACAACATCCTCCTCAGTCCTTGATGGTTGGTGCTTGGATTAAAACCATCTAAAGAGTAAGTCAGCGACTCAGAGAGAGGTGTACCATTATCTATATCAAAGCTTCATCTCATTGATGAAATTGGTGCTAGAAATCATTGACTGAGGTGCACATCTCATTTGTGTTACAAGGGCAAATGAAGTAACTAAAGTTAAGGATGATCTCATCATTTACATCTCTAAGGGATGCACAAGCAACAGTAATATATTCACCTAGCTTAATGATTCTCAACCTTTTTCCTCTCATAGCACCCATAAACTAATTACTAAAATTCTTCAGCACACCAAAAATATATTTTTTGCCCATCTGACAAAAAAAAAAAATGGTATAATTTTGATTCATTCACACCAGACAGCTTTGTTGTTTTGGCTGTTGCCATTTTTTTTCCATAGACATTTTTTAATTTGACAATCTAAAGGAAAAGAGGTCAGCGCCCCTGACTACCATATTTTACTGTGTATAATGTGCACCTACGTTTTTGGCCCAAACTTTCAGGAAAAAAAATCTTTCATTTTAATTTTTAAATTCAATTTTTTATGGATTTATATTTATAAGAAAAATCAATTATCGTATTCCAGGGTATTATTTTGCTTACAGATATCATTATTGCTTTCCAGAGTTACATTTTTAATGCATACGCATAAATAAAAGAATTAAAAACATTTATATAGATACAGAATTAGTACTACCCATGTACAATGAGCATTCTTATTTTTCCCTCAAAAATTTGGGCAAAATAGTGTGCATTTTACATGGCAAAATACAGGTAAATAGGCATTGCATGTTTAAGCCATGGCACACCAATTGAAAATCGCTGATCTATAGTATGTGGATTTTCCTTGCCCAAACTGAGACCACTGCAAGAAGTTAACTAAGTTTGGTGCATTTGATAGAAATTTGGGCTGTGGTGGTCTGATTCAGTGTGGAGAAAATCCATTTCAGGTGTGAATGCTTGATGTGATAGTTGGGAAATTCATCTGGAAAAAACTGGCCTGTGAAGGCAGCTTCTTGCTAACTAAACCCAAGGTTCTCCACTGTACTCCATCTACCCAGGACTCAATTCTGGGACCCTCCACCACGGCTGGCGCGACACGTCAGTAAAGCCCATGGATGACCACAGTGTTGGTGCGAATGCTTAAGGCTGTTTTTGGTCTCTTTAAAAATTCCTTCTCTTTTTCTTTTCCTACTTAAACAAACAAACAAAAACCTATATCAGTCTATTCTATACATTAAAAAAACAACCATAACCTACCCATCCACTCTCCCTTCCTTTCTCTTGTTCTCTCTCTCTCTCTCTCTCACACACACACACACATACTCTCTTCACAGTAATGAGGAAATACTATTTCTTTTCTTTTTTTTAATCATTAAAAAATGATTAGGTAAGTAATCTGATAAAGCCTGTAGGAGAACCGTGATGAACTAATGGGATTTTTTTTCATCTCTAATGCGAATGCTCTGTAACACATTCAGTGATATTGCAGTGAGTTACCTGATATATGTAGCAACGTTAAAGTTAAAGTGGATTCTGTCATGTTGTGGTCTGAAAAAGGCAGAAGCCAACAATATCACCACAAAAGAGTGACTTATTAAAGTCATAAAGAGATGGAAATTGATTTACCCCGGCCTGAGATGTCTATCAGGACGGCTGGGTGGGGGAAATGGAGGAAGGGAGGGTCTGTGAAGGCTATAAAGCGCTGGCCTCCGCATCCAGCCCAGGAGAGCCTCATATCTGTCTTAGGAGCATGCAGTGTTTACAGGGACCCTCCACTGTGAGTGAGGCAACAGAGCTTAAAGTCTTGGCTCTTAACACAGGGCCCATCCCATAACAAAGCTCCTAACTTTACTGAATTTTCCACAACCTTTGGGGGCCACTCTGTGTGGTTTGCAGTATGGAGAAAACAGCTTCATAAAGTGCTCAACTTAGACCAGAGACAAGCAAAGTCATAGGAGAAGCTGAAACACAGCTCACAAACCCATCATGGTCAACAGTCACTGCTCTGGGGGAAATATTAACAGCAAACCATTGACTTCATGAAGAAGGGCCAGGGATTTATTGCTGAGTCTCCTTCTGCCTGGCAAATTTCCTGGTCACCCTTCGGCACTCATCTCAAAGCTCCACCTCTGCTCTGAAGCCATCCCTAACCCTCCTGGACAATGAATTAACTCTTTCTCCATATAACTTGAACTCACTTTTAAAAAATAGTTATTCTCACACTGTACTATTATTTCTTTTATGTGTCTCACCCTGAGGAGTTTGTGCATTCCTTCTTCTTAGGTGTTGAACTACCCTCCTTCCTCTCTCCCTTTTTTTAGTCCTCATTCAAGGATATGTTTTTTATTGAATTTTCTTTTTTAAGAGAGAGAGAGGAAGGGAGAGAGAGACATCAGTGTGAGAGAGAAACATGGATCAGTTGCCTCCCAAATGTGCCCAACCAATGGGGGATCAAACTTGCATCCTAGGCATGTGCCCTAGGGGATCGAACCCGCAACCCATTGGTGTATGGGATGATGCTCCGACCACCTGAGCCATCTGGCCAGGGCTCTTTTCTCTCTCTTGTTAAAATTATTATCTTCAGTGCTGGGCAAAGTTTTTGATACATTGAAGCACTTGAGAAGTTTGCGGAAGGACTGGCCAATGGCCTGATGGAAGTGTGGAGAGCTGGAACAGCAGCCACATTGGTGGTATCTACTTAAAGATCAAGGTTTCCCTTGGCTTTTTCTCTCTCTCTTTCTTTCTCTCCTTCTTTCCTTTTATCTTCTTGACAACATTAAAATCTTTTAGTGGGGCAAGACTTTGATTCTACAACTAAGAGAGAGCTGTCAGTGCAAATATCCACAGGAAAAACATCACCAACTTAGAGAATCTGTGCCTTCCCCTTCCCATACCCTGACTCTTCAACCTATCACAGTTTAGTTTCATCCCCAATGATCCATTGAAGTTGATCTTGCAAAGGTCATCTTTTGGTACTTCTTGAATTTTGTACCCTGTGCATGAATTATGCCTTGAAAAAAAAACCCCAAATAATTTGCACTTAAATGTTTTGGAGAAAAAGCACTTTCGGCAGTCAGAGGGTTCTGTGTGACTAGTAGAGCAGCTCTCTGGGCCTCAATTTCCTCATCTCTGAAAAATGAGGGGCTCAAGACCACCACTGAGCTCTGGTCCAGCTCTGAGAGAAGAATGACCGATTAATTCGTGGCTCAATGTGCATCCTACACAATCTGCTCTTCCCAGAAGAGAGCTCTGAAATTGGTCAGGGCCAAAGAGCAACGAATTTGAAGCCAACTCAGTATGAAGTATTTTGAAAAGTTAGACACCCACCGTGCACATCACAATAAGCCTTGCTAGGTGAGGGTGTGTCTGCCCCTCCCATGTCCCTCAGTCACTCGCCTAGTCCTCAAAGCTCTGCAGAGAAATGGACTGAGGTTCAAGGATTTTCCTACGACTACAAGGAGAAAGGGCAAATACTGCCACTTTTTATTTTCTCCCAATGAAATACTCACTTTGAGCAGTAAATACAGAGAAAAATAAGGTTGGAACTGGAATCTAAAATTTAAGCATTCTGTGACTTTAAGAAAATGTTCAACTCACCAACTTCAGTGCCTTTTCCCAGAGTGACAGTGATTCCATACCCCTTCAGCCCATTTCTCCATCAGTCTCTAAGACGACATAGGCAGCCGAGTAGTGAGGGTCTGTGTGCTGCAGGGAAATGGTCCCCCACCCATACAACACGCACATGAGAAATCTGAAACCCGACGATGACATCACTAAGAATAGAAACTGCAATGGGGGACATGCAAGAAAAGCTCCAATTTGATAGAACCCTGGATTTACCCCAGAGAAAATGTAAGCATCCTGAATGGACAAAAGGGAGGTTCTCCTAAAGGAGTCAAATTATTGTAACAAGTGCAATGTATACATTTTTAATGTCATTTAAATGTTCTGGAGAGAAAGTCAGCTCAGTTTGAAACCCAGGAGGTTCACTCACAGCTATTGGTCGGCTCTTTGAATAGTTACCCAAGCAGCTTCAAATTGCTAATGTTCTTACATAAAATCAGATTTATCTTCATTGCAGTTATTAAGAGCATGGCTGAAAAAACACAGGCATAAATTCAGAAATCACTGAGGAAAAATGAAGAAGTAAAACTTCAAGAAAAATGAACCCTTTTTGTATTTTGTTCTTTTTTAAAAAACTTTTTATCAAACAGCATTTTGATAATAAGCACTTACTAACCAACAACTATGAAACTCTACACTACTTGTCAATATGGGGGATGCAGAAGTAAAAAACCACAAATCTATTTCTAGAAATTTCTCATACAGTGGGGAGAAAAAGCTAACACACAAGAACCAGGTGAGAACAACTGCTAAGACAGTTCAAAGTTATATACTGATGTGTGGTCGGGTAGTAGTACCACAGAAGTTCAAGGAAGGAGAGCAAGGGTGAAGTAAGGGACCAAGACATTTGCATGGGCAAAGGGCAGGTGAAGGCATGCAGGGAAGAGAGTGATACAAAACTCAGAGATCTTGTGAGACAGAAAAATAAAAGGCCTGAGAGGCACTCCTTTGCAAGTAAATGAAAACAAGATTGTATGGGTGGTGTGTGGGAAAATAATGAAGACCACAAAAAGGCAGACAGAAGATCTGAATGTGATTAAAAAAGGAATGTAGGATGATGCAATTGTTGAAATTTGCTTTGGGATATGATTATTTATTGCTATTTTGTTGTTGTTATATAATATTTATTATTCTAGGCACACTATTCTGAGAGCTTTACATCATTTAATTTAATCCTCACAATAATATTATAAGGTGGGTGCTATCATCCTTATTTTACAAATGAGGAAACTGAGTTTAAAGAGGTGGAATTGAAATCCCTGTGTTCGGGGAGAGAGAGGAGGTTGCGTGTGACAGACAGGAGGCCTGCAGCTGGCATGTAGAGGCCCAATGGAGGGTATTCGGTGTGATGTGCTGGTGAGAGCACCAGCTGCATATCTGAGATTGTGCAGGTAGGTTGCTGAGGGGCTCAGACATGCCTAACTTTGAGGAAGTTCTGGTTTAGAAGTCATGGTTACAGAAACTCTAATACTATAGGGCAAGCCACGGTAAGTCTCTGGGAGAGATGCCAATGATGGAAGTCAGGCAGAGAGCACTATTAGCTGAGTGCACTGGAAGCTAGAAGAGCTTTATGATGAAAGCAGAATCTGAGCTGGGTGGTGGAGGACAGGGAGCTTCACAGCAATGGGAAGGGGCATGAAAGACCTGGGAGGGAACATCTTAGGTCAGGTGAAGACAGTAAAGGGACAGAAAGGGGAAAGACTGGAGTATATTTAAAGGTTAGTGACTACCCTGGTGTGGCCTAATCATTGGGTTCCTGAGACAGAAATTGGGACATAAGGCTCAGAGGGAGACTCCAGGAATCGAAGACCCATGGAAGTTTCTGGGCTACATGGAGAGCAGGCAATAGAAAAAGGAAACCCTTCACTGAAGCCTTCTGTGAGGGTAAAAGAAGGAGCTGAGCTGAGAGTGACTTGAAGCTTTTGAGTCCTTGTAACAACTGGCAGAATGATCCAGAAGGATCAGGAGGAAGAGTCAGGCAGAATATGGAAGATGATCACTCTGGATTTCAGTGGATGCTGTTTAGCATGAAGGTGAAAAGTTCATTAGGAAGTGCCCAAATGGCAGCTGGACTTGAGAGAGGGAAGATACAAGAAGGGGATGTGAGCATCTTTGGCATAAAAGTGGTACTGAAACCATAAAAATGGAGGGGTTTTAATGGAAGAGCGCAGTGATATGGGAAAGGCCAAGGCTGAGCCCTGGAGAGGAAAGAAGGGGTTCTGCGTGGGAAGCAGGAGCAGTCAGAAAGGCAGGTGGCCAGAAGGACAGAGAGACAGTAGGAAGATGGGCAGCAAAGAGCATGAATAAAGGGCACTGGAAGCAGAAATAACAAGGGGATTCCAAGGGAAGGAAGGAGGCAGAAAGTGATTTCAGATTAAGGAAGCAGATGTACAGGTCTAAGGCAATGGGAATGGACCAGTAATTTAGCATCTGGTGGGGAAGGGGCAGAAACAGAAGCAGGTAGAGAAGTGTTAGGGTCAAGTAAAGACTTCCACGAGAGGGAAGCCCTGTCCATGTGGATGGAGAAGAAACCATTGGAAAAGGAGAGACTAAAGATGAAAATGTTGGAGATGGAGGCGGTAAGAATGGGGGTCAGAGGGTCAAGAAGGGTAGAAATGGAGACAAAAGAGAATAGATTAGCTTGAGAGGACAAGGCTTACAGAATAAAGGGGAACAGGATAGGGTTGGTGTGGACACTGACGTGTGGAGATGGTGCCAAGGGTGCATCTGTCTTCAGTCTTCTTGAGGATGCAGTGGACCATGTCTTCTAGCTGCTGAGAGTGTAGGACTGAGGGCTGGAGGAGGAAGACAAGGGTCTGAAATAGCCACTTCAGGAAGCTCAGCAGACAATGGGGAAAGGAGAGGAAAACTATGGTGGGGCGGTAGACAGGGTCGGCTGGAGCTGGGCTGTCAGCCCCACAGCCCTGGGGCTCTCGAGCCTTAGTAAGGGCCTGGACAAGCAAACAACTTGTAAATATACTGCAGGCCTGAGCACCCTATGTTTCTTAAAAGACTGATAAGAGATTATAACTGGAACCCTTTGCTTGAATAGATTTGGGGGACAGTTTCAAGACTCCTTCATGAAAATATACTGCTTGTGATCAGGAAGGCTCACTCTACTGCCAAGTACTGAATGTAGCTGAACTGCTGAGCCCAGCATGCTCTGCGTGTACAGGAAGCAATCATGGGAGTTATGGCAGTGCCACCAAGAACTGCAAAGGAGCACATTCTTTTAAGGAGGCACTTGAGAATCAGAACACAACACACACCATATATCTAGGAAATAAATACTTAAGGATTTATGAGTTTGCAACACAGGTGTCAGTATTTCCTGATCCATAGGTCATAGATCACGCAAAACCAGAGATAAATTCCATTCTACAGTAAACTGGGCCCTTTAACACTTCACAAATTCAAAGTGGAGGAAAGGCTCAGTCAGAGCTGCTTCTGCTTCAGTTTCCTCATATATAAATAGTAATATAGCCAACACTTAATGATGGCCTTTTCTGTGTCAGGCTCTTCACAGGTATCTCATTTAGTCTCTGCCTTTACTGCATCTCCGAAGATTGATATTTACATAACTCTTTACAGTGACAAGTCCTTTCTAACCACATTTTCATGAGAGCCCCGTCTCACACAACTCATTTAGGAGATTGTCTGGTTTCCCAGCCAGACTGTGACTCCTTCATTTCATAGGTGGGCCCAGGAGGTCCAGAGAGATTAGAGTCTTCTCTAGGTCACACAGCATGCTGTGGAGCAGGCAGGATCACCATCAAAATGCCCAGCACGGGCTTCCTGGCCTCCTTTGCCAAGAACTCCTGTACAGAAGACGCCAGTGTTGTATTTGGTTTTGTTGCTTATTATGCATTCCTCCATTTCCAGCGAAATGCGAATCATAATGGGAAAAACAGGAAATTATCAAACCCCAGCAAAAATAATATGAAATTAAGAAAAAAGAAAAAAAATGTAGGAAGGTGGGAAGTATTTCTGTATTCTTTTATTCCTTTTTTAGGCCTCCCTTTTACAAAACTCTTGCAAAGTTGGCAACCTCCCCAGGACTTGCAGGGATCCCCAGGCCTAAGTGGGCCCTGGCATCTGCGAGGAAGGAGGGCACCCAGAGGTCGGTCAGCGCTTACCATGGCGTCCGAGCCGTGGGCCCCGAGCGACGTGGGAAAGCGCACGTCGCGGACCGAGAGCCCGGAGATCCTGCCTTGCACCATGTCCCCGCATGCGTCCTGAAGGCGCTGGCACTGTTACCTGGGCCCTGATCCAGTGTACACAGCGGGAGGGCCTCTGGAGTGGGCAGAGCTCAGCGTGATGGATGCTAATTGGCTGCGAGGTCCGGGGCGGGGCAGTGCGCGTCAAAAAGCCGGGACCCTTGTGCAAGTGCTGCTCCTGGGTCCCGGACACGCACTGGCATTCACCGCAGCGTTTGTGCGGAGTGCTGGCTAGCACCTCCCCACGCAGATCGCTGAGTGTCACAGCAGACTCTGGGGCCAGGAGGAAGTACCCCCGCAGGTCCCTGATCTGTATGGGCTGCAAACTCCCAAAGTGATCTTCCCGGGAACAGCGCCCAGGAGAAAGATGCAGGGTCTGACCAGAGTACGATCCAAGGCCTAGAAGCAGATTCTGGCCATGGACTCGGCTCTGGAGTCCACAAGTCTGGTGCGGGGAATTGTGGGCTACAAAATCCTAGATGTCTTCAACCAATATAAGCCTCAGGTTGCCAGCTGAGAAATTAAGAGGCCAATTATCATTTGTTAAACCCCTGCTAATGCAGATTTAAATACATTACCTCTTACTATCCAACCCTTCAAGGTAGGTAAGTCATTTTCATTTTATTGGTGAAGAATTGGGGATTCTGAGAGATTATGTGATTTAAGTGACTTTTCCAAGGCCACACAAGTAAGTGGCAAAGTGCCCTGACTGCTAACTCTGGGTTCTGTCCTCTCTATTGCAGAGAGTCATTTTCAGAGCTATAGGAGCCCCCTGAGAACACGGCAAAACCTATGAACACTCTCTGCCTCCTTCCCACACTTCCTACTTCCGCGCCAGGTTTGCACACACCTAAGTTTTTATATCATAGATAATCCACTGATTCTTTGCTTTGCACACAGACTTTCAGTTCCTACCTCTAGAAAATACTTGGAAGATTAAATAGGATGAGAAACAATCCTATAGAAGCTATATTATTCTATTATATAGAATAGTTCCTGTGGGCATGGCAAGGATGTTTTAGAGACACCCTAGTCCCCTCTGCTGCTCCAGGGTGCGCATAATAACCCTGTTGGATGAATTTTTTTTCTTTTTCTTTTTTTAGTTAAGGGCTGAGATGGTCTCAGCTCAAAGGCAGGAGGAAACAAAGGAGTGAGGCAACAGGCAACTGTGACTGGGGGCTAAGGGACTTTGCTCTTCAAAAGGGGTATCCAGTTAGTTCCAGTTGACTGTGGTCCTCTGGGAATTAGAGCCCTGGTTTGCTGTCTCTTTTCTTTTTCCAAGAGGTCTGAAATGTAAGTGTCTTTTTTTCCCCCCTGTCCTGCAGTACTCACTTTGTTATATAGTTATAGAGATATTTTACATATGGATCAACATTTATTAATAGTTAATTGTAACTTTTACTCATTTGTTTGTTCATTGCTTTTGTTTTCTTGATTTTTTTTTTTTTGGCATGGCTAGAATATATGCTCTATTCTCCCCCCCCCGCCCCCCCCCCACCCCCGCTGCCTTCCCCCGCACCCCAAGAATGAGTCTCTGGCCTGGTTGATATATTCTTAGTACTTGGTGTTCTGAAGATATCTTTCTTTCAAATTTGAATGCCGGTTTTATTGTATAGAATACTTAGTTCAAATTAATACTTTTTAAAGAAGTCTCATTCTTTAAAGATTAAACTGGTCCCCCCCTTCCTTTTTGGGAAGTGTTTGAATTTTCTCTTTAATTTTATGTTGTTAAAATATTCTGCCCTCGCTGGTGTGGCTCAGTGGATTGAGTGCCAGCCAGTGTACCAAACGGTCGCTGGTTCAATTTCCAGTCAGCGCACATGCCTGGGTTGTGGGCTAGGTCCCCAGTGGGGGGCATGGGAGAGGCAACCACACAACCACACATTGATGTTTCTCTCCCTCTTTTTCTTCCTCACTTCCCCTTTCTCTAAAAATAAATAAATGAAACCTAAAAAGAAATATTCTAATATATGTTAGGATTAATTTAAAAATAATAATATAATTATTTTAAAAATTAATCACATTCTACAATTGTTGGATCCTTTAAACTAGAAACAAAATTTCTCTGGAAAGTTCTCTGCTCTTTCTTTCATTGGTTCTTCCTCTTTATTCTTTTGTTTTCTTCTTTCTGGAACTTATGTTGGATTGATATTGAGACTCTGAATCTATCATCCATATTTTATCTTTAAAATTGTTTTTTACTCTGTTCAGCTGAGTTCTTTTTTCTTTAATATTCTAACTCACTCATTTGATCTCCAACTGCGTTCTTTCTTTTATTCAACCAAATTGTTTAATTTTTATTCAGTGTTATTTTAAATTTCCAAGTTTTCTTTCCGTAGTACCATTATCCCTTTTGAAAAAATGGATGCCACATTGTCTTAAATGAAGGTTTTACTTGGTTCCTTTATTACATTTGGTTCCTCAAATATTAGTTCTTGGTTGTTGATTTGAGTTCTTTCCCTTCATGGTCTGGTTTTCTTTATATTAGTGTTCATGTCTATTCATGCTTACTGTTGAGAATCACATTTTGTCTTTCTGTGAAGTGAGATTTTGAAATCTTGTTTCTGGTGATCATGAAGCGGGTAGTGGGCATGGGCTGCACAGCTGTGTTGGTAGCTTTTTGTCTAGGTGGGGAGGCTTGTGTCCATTCTGAGCTTTCATTTTAGAGTCTTGTTCAGGGCTGGATTATGGGAGGAAATGTCAGAATAAATTCCATTTTCTGTTTTCTTTGTGATAATCAGGATTCACTTTAGGATCTGCCCTGCTTTTACCACCAGCCCCCAGATTCCATCTAGACATCTCCCAAGGCAAATTGTGAACTTTGTGTAGAAAATTGTTACTAATGTTGTTAGCTTACTAACAGTGACAGACAGGCCTGGCTACCTAGCCATTCCAAATACTGTCATTTAATTAATTTTTTAAAAACCACTATAATTAATAGCACCATTATTTCTAGGAAACATAAAGTAACAGGGACAGGATTTATACTCCCATGTTATACAGCTAGAAAACCAGCTAAAATGTTTGGAAGGACTTCAGACACTGGACCATAGGGACAGCAGGACTGTGATCTCAGAGAGGGGAAACAAACAAAGCACCCTGCAATGGCACCAGCCTGCTGTCTAGGGGCTATTTGCAGGCCACAGTACTAAGGAGGTGACCCAAACAGAACCCAGCAGTCTTGCTGAATTGAGGAGACAAATATTAACATTTATACATATATTAGAGGAGGCCAATGTGGCTATGGTTTGAGAAGCAAAAAACAGAAGGATCACTCCTAATCTTTGGGTGAGTACTGATGTACACATGAATTAGAGGAAAGCATTTAACATCACTAAGCATCAAGGAAATACAAATCAAAATCACAATGAGATATCACCTCATATCTGTCAGAATGGCTATTATCAAAAAGACAAAACAAAAAACAAATGTTGGTGAGGATGTAGAAAAAAGGGAATCCTTGTAACTGTTTGTGGGACTGTAAATTGGTGCAGCCACTACAGAGAACAGTATGGAGGTTCCTCAAAAGTTTAAAATAAAACTACCATATGATCCAGCAATTCCACTTCTGGGTATTTATCACAAGAAAATGGTAACGTTAACTTGAAGATATATATACTCCAAATGTTCATTGTGGCATTATTTACAATAGCCAAGATATAGAAACAACCTAAGTGTCCATCAATGGATGAATAAAGAAGTAGTGGTACATATCTACAATGGATAATTAGCCATAAAAAGAAATAAAACCTTGCTATTTGCTATGACATGGATAGACCAAGAGGGTATTATGCTAAGTGAAAGAAGTCAGGCAGATAAAAGACAAATACCACACCTCACTTATATGTGGGATCTAAAATAACAAAAAGCAAAAAAAACTGAGCTCACAGATACAGAGAACAAATTGGTGGTTGCCAGGGGTAAGGCAGGACAGGGCCGGAGGGACTGGTGAGAAGAGAATGGGTGAAGGTGGTCAAAAAGTTAAAACTTTGAGTTATAAAGTAAATAAGTCATGGGAATTTAATGTACAGCATGGTGACTATAGTTAATAACACTGTATTGCATATTTGAAAGTTGCTAAGAGAGTAAATCTTACAAGTTCTGATCACAATGGCCCTGGCTGGTGTGGCTCAGTGGATTGAGTGCTGGCCTGTGAACCAAAGGATTGCCAGTTCAATTCCCAGTCAAGGCACATGCTGGGGTTGTGGGCCAGGTCCCCAGTAAGGGGCACATGAGAGGCAACCACACACTGATGTTTCTTTCCCTCTCTTTCTCCCTCCCTTCCCTTCTCTCTACAAATAAATAAATAAAATCTTTAAAGAAAGGTTCTTATCACAAGAAAAAAATTTTTGTAACTATATGTAGTAATGCAGGTTAACTAGACCTATACTGGTGATCTCTTTTGATGTTAATTATAGCTCTACAAAAGAAAAAAGAAATAGTCCTATAGCTATGAAGAAATTTAATAATATAATTTAAATATCAGTCCATTTCAGCTTTACCAAGAACCAAACAATGAGAATTCTTTACCAAACAATAAGAAACAATAGCAATTCTAATTAAACTCCTCCAGAAAATATGAGATGAGGAGATATTTCCCATCTTTCTAAAAGAGTTTAGTTAGTATTACTGCAATGCCAAAACAAAAGTATTACAAGAAAACTGCAGACCAATATTCCTCATGAACATAGACACAAAAAATCCCTCATAAAAATTACAAATCTGACACCAGCAGTATATGAAAAAGATAATACATTGTGTCTTTATCCCAGGAATACAAAGTTAGTTTAACATTTGAAAAAAATCAATCAATGCAATACTTCCTATTAATAATGAACTAGAAAAAGAGAAACTATCTGATCATTTTTATACAGGCTGGAAAAACATTTGACAAAATTCAACACTGATTCACAATTTAAAAAATAAAAAACTCTGCCCTGGCTGATGTGGCTCAGTGGATTGAGCGCCAGCCTGTGAACCAAAGGGTTGACAGTTTGATTCCAAGTCAG